GAGGTGGAGGTTGCAGTGAGCCAAGTTCATGCCACTGCACTCCAGCTTGGGCGACAGAGTGAGACTCCGTCTCAAAAAAAAAAAAAACTTATTTAATCAGTACTTAGTTGTTTGTGGCACATTACATAGAATGAGTGTAGAGTGGATTATGAGATTTAAGACAGCAAGAGGATACTTGAGTATTGTTGCTGCCTAAGGGCAGAAATAGGGAGAGATGGTGGGTGGCCAACAAAGACAACTTTTGCTTTCCTTTTGATGTTGCCAGAGACCTTGGGAGTTGCTGGTGTGAAGTCCTGCTTAAAATCAGGACCAGTTTGAATGACTGCAAACCTCAATTTTCACTTTTTACCTTTTAGTCTTCACTTTGTGGTTCCAGTCATCTAATCCCTACTCTTTCTCTTAGAAAGGAGCAGAAGGATGTCAGAGAAAGAACATTTTCTCTTTATTAACTCATTTTCAGCACTTGGGTTTCACTTTTGGAACACTGCTGTTTGACTAAGGCTGAAGTTCTTTATCTTTGTCAGGTTTACACGTCTTAAGAATTTTTATTTTTTGTTTATTTTTTGCATGTTAATTTTTCTTACATATACTTATTTTTTTTTCCACTTGCAATCCTTTTTGAAGCATATTTTTTTTTTTTTAAAGACAGAGTCTTGCTCTGTCGCCCATGTTGGAATGTAGTGGTGCGATCTTGGCTCACTGCAGCCTCCACCTCCCAGGTTCAAGCGATTCTCCTGCCTCAGCCTCCTGAATAGCTGGGATTACAGGTGTGCGCCACCATGCCTGGCTAATTTTTGTATTTTTAGTAGAGATGAGGTTTCACCATGTTGGCCAGGCTGGTCTTGAACTCCTGACCTCAAGCGATCCACCTGCCTTGGCCTCCCAAAGTGCTGGGATTACAGGCATGAGCCACCGTACCCAGCTACGTAAGATAATTTTAATGCATTGTATGTTATGGTTTGTCCTAGATCTAAACAAATAAATTCTGCAAATTATTTGAGTTCTGTAGTTAATGAACATTTCTGTATAAGTATCAATGGGTTTGCTGTTGCTGCTGCTCTTTTATTTTTTTTTAAACGATTGCAGCCAAAATAAGGAAATTGAGTTCATTCAGTCATTCTAGTCTAATATATTTTATGTCTGTCTATAGATTTCTTTAATGGCAAAATGCAGCAGAATGACTTACCAAAAATGTAACATGTTAAATTCACATAGATTTAGGTTGGATACACAGCCTTCTGTATCCGTGAATTCTAACAATGGCAGATTGGAAATATTTTTTAAAAATAATTGCATCTGTACTGAACCATGTACAGAGTTTTTTCTTGTCATTATTCCCTAACCAATACAATGTAACTGTTTATATAACATTTACATTGTATTAGGTATTATAAGTAATCTTGAGATGATTTAAAGTAAGGTTATATGCAAATCTTATACCATTTTATATCAGGGATTTGAGCATCTGCAGATTTTTGGTACTTGTGGGAAAAGTCCTGGAACCACTCTCCTACAGATACTGAGGAATTACTTACATGTTTTGCTTTCTCACTTGATTAGGGGAAAATACCCTTTACCTTCTGTTTGACTTCTGCAGAAATGTGTGTGACTGTAGAGGCTCAAATAGCATATTAAAACAATGCTGAAAATATTTTTAACACTAGGCATCATTAAGTGACTGTATAACTTACATGATTTTGTTAATAAAAATAGAAACAACTATGGGTTTTTAATGGACTTTAGACATTATCAGAGAAGATTGTTACTTATTTGAACTCTTTCCAAAAATCAAATGGAAGATTTGGGACAGAAAAGGAAGCTTTTAAAAAGTACAGTCTTTCTCCTAGAAACCCTTGCTAAAATCTTTGGTGACATCGTAATCTTATCCCTGTACTTTCCCTCCTTGTGTCTAATCATTTGCCAAGTCCTGTCATTCTACCTTTGCAGTGTCTCTTGTATCTGCTTCCTCTATTCCATCTCTACTGCCCTAGTTCTAACCTTCATCATCTTTTCCTAGGATCATTATAATAGATAACTAGTCTTTTCCCTATCTAGTTTGTCACCGCCTAACTTTATACTCTTCTTAGTTTCAATCACTTACCTCCCTACCTCAGAGCCCTGCTATCTTTAGAAAACAAAGTAAATGCTTTAGTAACATTCAAGCCTTCCGTTACCTATTCCAAGTCTATTTTTTTTCCCCACTGCCTTGTTGATCCTTGTTCATTCTGTGTAGTGGCTGATTCCTAAAGATGTTCTTTACTTTCTTTTCTTCATCCTGCTCTTCATCTCTTTGAAAAACCTTCCCCCACCAAGACTCACATCAAATATTGTCTCTTTGATGATGACTTCCAAGATCCTTCTAGTCATACTTAATCTTCTCTCTTGATTTTTCTTATACTGTAATATTTGTAACTCTATAGTTTGATATACTATGTTGTATTACTACTGCTTACAACTTTGTCTTCCACGTTAGTTTTTTAAACTTTGTTGGGTTTTTTGTTTTGTTTTTGAGACAGAGTCTCACTCTGTTGCTCAGGCTGGAGTGCAGTGGCGCAATCTTGGCTCACTGCAGCGTCCACCTCCCAGGTTCAAGTTGAATCTTCTGCTTCAGCCTCTCAAATAGCTGGGATTATAGGTGCCTGACACCATGCCCGGCTAATTTTTTGTTGTTGTTGTATTTTGTTTTTTGAGAGAGTCTTGTTCTGTCACCCAGGCTGCAGTACAGGGGTATGATCTCAGCTCACTGCAACCTCCACCCACCAGGTTCAGGTGATTCTCCTGCCTTAGCCTCCCGAGTAGTTGGGATTACAGGCATGTACTACCATGCCTGGCTAATTTTTGTATTTTTAGTAGAGATAGGGTTTCACCATGTTGGCCAGGCTGGACTTGAGCTCCTGACCTCAAGTGATCTGTCTGCCTTGGCCCCCCAAAGTGCTGGGATTACAGGCGTGAGCCACCATGCCTGGCCCCAATGTTCTAAGTCTTTTTTTTTTAATCAATATGTTTTTTAAAATGTATATTTTTTGTTAGTTGCTTGTTTAACCCATAACTTCCTAACTTTTACATCTCTCTGGGTACTCTCTTCATATTTATGTATGTTGCATTGCTTTACTCATGTTTACATTGTTATGCTTATTTCTTTCTTTAAAACTTTAAGTACATTACATATATTCTTTTATATGTTATAAAGCATTATACTAAAATGATCACCTGTGCACATACTACCCAGTTTGAGAAATAGAACCTTGCTGTACCCCTGAAGCTCCTTATATGTGTCTCCCTGATTACAACTCTCCCTCTCCCAAGAAATATAACGTTGTGTTTATCATTTTCTGTCTGTCTTTATAGTTTTACCTCGTTTATATCATTAAGCAATATATTGTTCAATTCAGTTTGATTTTTAAACTTTATATAGAGTATCATATTACACATATTCTTGGTTTTTCATTCAACATTGTGGGGAATGGTCAGGAGATAATGAGGTGGTAAGGTGGGGAGGGTATGTTTTCTGGTTAAACTATTTTTTCTTGGAGAATCAGAGACCATACCTTGTATACCCCTTTAATACCTCTCTTTAACACGAGGCCTGCTGTTGCAAGTTAAGTCTCCTGATGATTTACACTGACATTGAAACAATGCTGTTGTCTCTATAAGTATGAGGAAACCCAGGGGAACCCTGTCATACTCTTTCCTTAATGGATGCTCTTTGCAGGTTTGATGAATTGTTGATGAATTAGATACCTCGCTAGAAGGACGTATTTGATATCAGTTGACCCATTTGGGTGTGATAGTGTGGTCAAGAGACCTTTTCTCCCCTATCACTACAGCTTTAGACACAGGACCCAGGGTGGATGGTAAAGTATAGAAAATGTTTATATATTAGATCATTGTTTCTAAATGCATAGATCTGAAAGTACAAATTAAAGTGTTTGGTTCAACATGTGTTTATAGATACCTGGAGCAAGTATAGATAGAAAAAAAGTGAAAATGATAAAAATGCAATATTCAGAGAAGAAATTGGTTTGGTGACTAAGACAGTGGATTCATGTACACAGAGTTAAAAGGGATGAGTACCAGTGAATCACAAAGTATTAATATTTAATATAAAATGTTACTAGAATTAAAGCAAATTGGGATGCTTTTGGAATTTCCATAAGTGAGCAGAGGCCTCCCCATCCCCTGCTCCAAGTTGTACCTTACTTAGCTTTTTACGATTAGATGTTCATTGATATCCATTTGTTTAATAATAGTGAACGGATAGAATGAAGATTATTAAGAGAGTGGAAAGAAGTAGCCAGACATGGTGTCTCACACCTGTAACCCCAGCACTTTGGGAGGCCAAGGCAGATCACTTAAGGCCAGGAGTTTGAGACTAGCCTGGCCAATATGATGAAACTGCACATCTACTGAAAACACAAAAACCAGCTGGGGCATGGTGGTGAACACCTGGAATTCCAGCTACTCAGGAGGCTTAGGTAGGAGGATTGCTTTAACTCGGGAGGTGGATGTTACAGTAAGCCGAGATCGTGCCATTGCACTCCAGCCAGGGTGACAGAGTGAGACCCTATCTCAAAAAAAAAAAAAAAGAGGAAGAAATCACTTAAAAAAATAAATAAACAGGTATCGTCAATGAGAAAAGAGAAATGTTTCTAGATAAAAATTCCATCTACTTATAATCTATACATTAATGCTATTTTAACAGAAGAAACATGTAAAAACTTTTATTATTCTTACCGCTAGTTCCTTTGACAGGTAAGATTCCCAACTCTTAAAGCAAAATGATACAAAAAGTAATTCATTTGGTTAATTAAAATTTGAAAAAAATTATTAAATTGTTCACTCATGTTCTACGTATCTTAAACTCCTGAAATAGATATTGTAAATAATTTAAAATTAACCTGTTAGCAAAGGATACAGTTTAGGAGTTTTATTTTTTAAAACTGCTCACTTGTTTTATTGTTAATGAGGAAAATTAGTATAATTATTTGTATTTCTTTCAGAAAAGAACTACTTTTAAGGAAATATAGCATCCATTGTGAAAGGGGAAAAGTAAAGATAATTCATCATGCCTGCTGTGGCTTCAGTTCCTAAAGAACTCTACCTCAGTTCTTCACTAAAAGACCTCAATAAGAAGACGGAAGTTAAACCAGAGAAAATAAGCACTAAGAGGTATGATGTATCCTTTGCTAGTTTGATTGAATCAAATATTATTAATTTTTAGTTCATTTCCATATTAAAGTTAGGTGAATGTTAATTTAAAGTTTATTTGAAAATAACACCATCACACGAATAAAATAAGACCTCCTTAGAGAAGGTCTTAATGTAATTGTAGCACAATACATATATATTCTGCTCATATGCATATTATCTACTCTCCAGACAGATCATACAGATATGACCTCTAGGTCATAAAGTTTAAGAGGCTAAGATTATGAAGCTTCTAAAAAAAAATATTCAGCCACAAGTCATTGTCTTTTCATAACACGATATAAAAATAATTCCTTTTTGGCCGGGTATGGTGGCTCAGGCCTGTAATCCCAGCACTTTGGGAGGCCAAGGTAGGCAGATCACCTGAGGTCAGGAGTTCCAGACCAGCCTGGCTAACATGGTGAAACCCCATTTCTACTAAAAATACAAAAAATTAGCCAGGCATGGTGGCGCACACCTGTAATCCCAGCAACTCAGGAGACTGAGGCAAGAGAATCGCTTGAACCCGGGAGGCAGAGGTTGCAGTGAGCTGAGATTGTGCCATCGCATTCCAGCTTGGGCAGTAAGAGCGAAACTCTGTCTCAAAAATAATCCTAAGTAATAATTTCTTTCTTTCTTTCTTTTTTTTTTTTTGAGACATGGTCTGCTGTCTTGTGCAGGCAGAGGAGTGCAGTGGCATGCTCATTGCTCATTGCAGCCTCAACTTCCTGGGCTTCAGTGATCCTCCTGGCTCAGCCTCCCAAGTAGCTAGGACCACATGCTTGTGCCCCAATGCCCAGATAATTTTTAAATTTCTTACAGAGATGGGGTCTCACCGTGTTGCCCTGGCTGGTCTTGAATTCATGGCCTCAAGTGATCCTCCATGCCTTGGCCTCCCAAAGTGCTGGGATTGTAGGCATGAGTCTCTGCACCTGGCCAGAGAATTATAGAAACTTTAAAGAAAGTCAGAACGGAAAATGTCAGAATGAACTGAATTTTGAAACATTACTAAAGACAAAATGGGCTTTTAAAAAAAGAGCTTTTGCCTGTAATCCCAGCACTTTGGGAGGCTGAGGCGGGCAGATCACAAGGTCAGGAGATCGAGACCATCCTGGCTAACACAGTGAAACCTCGTCTCTACTAAAAATAAAATTTTAAAAAATTAGCCGGGCGTGGTGGCGGGTACCTGTAGTCCGAGCTACTCGGGAGGCTGAGGCAGGAGAATGGTGTGAACCCAGGAGGCGGAGCTTGCAGTGAGCTGAGATCGTGCCACTGCACTCCAGCCTGGGTGACACAGTGAGACTCCATCTCAAAGAATAATAACAATAAAAAAATAACTGTTGGCTGGGAACCATGGCTTACACCTCTAATCCCAGCACTTTGGGAGACCAAGGCAGGTGAATCACCTGAGGTCAGGAGTTTGAGACCAGTCTGGCCAACATGGTGAAACCACATCTTTACTAAAAATATAAAATTAGCCAGGCATATTAGTCTATGCCTGTAATCACAGCTACTTGGAAGGCTGAGGCAAGAGAATCACTTGAACCTGGGAGGTAGAGGTTGCAGTGAGCTGAAGTTGCACCATTGCACTCCAGCCTGGGCAGCAGGGTAAGATTCTATTTTTAAAAAAAAAAAAAGATCTTTTGAGGCCGGGCCTGGTGGTTCACGCCTGTAATCCTAGCACTTTGGGAGTCCAAGGTGGGCGGATCACCTGAGGTCAGGAGTTCAATACCAGCCTGGGCAACATGTGAAACCACATCTCTACTAAAAATACAAAAATTAACTTGGCATGGTGGCATGGGCCTGTAATCCCAGCTAGTGGGAGGCTGAGGGATCCCTGAGCCCTGGAAGTGGAGGTTGCAGTGAGTTGAGATTGCACCATTGTACTCCAGCCTGGGCGACAGAGTGAGACTCTGCCTCAAAATGAAATTAAATTAAATTAAAATAAAAAGATATTTTGAAGGGCAGAAAGAGTAAGAGAGGGATTGGGCTATTTATCTTGCTAAGTTGGTAATGTTGATGGGGTAACAGAAAACAACTCTATTTAACTCCTGTTGAGTGATTTTCAAATGGGAAATAATGGGAAAGGTAAAGCCACCTTTAGATAGGACAATCCTTAAGGTCAGGCCTACGGCAGATTATTCCTTTCTAGCAATGTCTGGTTTACCTCTAGCACTACCCTTATCCCAGAGGAAGTGGTATATATAAGTTGGTTGTATCCAAACTTGCATCTAACTTTAATCAATTCTGAAGTAGTGGAACCTAATCATGAAATCTGCTTTATCAAGATCAGCGGTCCCCAACCTTTTTAGCACCAGAGACTGGTTTTGTGGAAGACAATTTTTCAATGTACCAGGGTTAGGGAGGATGGTTTTGGAATGAGTCAGGTGCACTAGATTTATTGTGCACTTTATGTCTATTATTATTACACTGTAATGTATAATGAAATAATTATACAACTCACTATAATGTTGAATCACTGATATCCCTGAGCTTGTTTTCTTGCAACTGGACCATCACATCTGGGGTGATGGGAGACAGTGACAGATCATCAGGCCTTAGATTCTCATAAAGAATGCACAACCTTGGCCGGGCATGGTGGCTCACGCCTGTAATCCCAGTACTTTGGGAGGCCGAGATGGGAGGATCACTTGAGGTCAGGAGTTTGAGACCAGCCTCACGAGCATGGTGAAACCTTTGTCTCTACTGAAACTACAAAAATTAGCCGGGCATGGTGGTACATGCCTGTAATCCCAGCTACTTGGGAGGCTGAGGCAGGAGAATCACTTGAATCTGGGAGGCAGAGGTTGCAGTGAGCAGAGATCGCACCATTGTACTTCAGCCTGGGCAACAAGAGCTAGTCCCCGTCTCAAAAAAAAAAAAAAAGGAAAAAGAGTGCACAACCTAGATCCCTCACATGTGCAGTTTACAACAGGGTTTGTGTTCCTATGAGAATCTAATGCCGCCACTGATCTGACAGGAGGCGGAGCTCAGGTGGCAATGCGAGCAATGGGGAGTGGCTGTAAATACAGATGACACTTTGCTGGCTAGCCCACCACTCATCTTCTGCTGTGTGTCCTGGTTCCTAACAGGCTATGAACCAGTACCAACCTGTGGCCCTGAAGTTGGGGACCCCTGATAAAGATTATCTGTGGACTTTGTATATGACTTGTATTTTTTTCCCAGATGTCAAGTACTTTAATTATTTTTTTTCTCTAATTTCAAGTTATGTGCACAGTGCCCTGAAGATCTTTAAGACAGCAGAAGAATGCAGATTAGATCGTGATGAGGAAAGGGCCTATGTGCTATATATGAAATACGTGACTGTTTATAATCTTATCAAAAAAAGACCTGATTTCAAGCAACAGCAGGTACCTTTTATTTTTGCATTGTTATTTCCTAAGTTATTTTGCATAATGGAGCTATTGATTTTTTTCTAAAAATTTTAAGTAATAATGAAATTTAGCTCAAATTATATGCAGCATCATCTCTCTCATGTAGATAGAAAAAGGAAACTAAAGATACAGTGTTATTATTTACAAATGTGTGTAATGTGTGAACTCGTGCATATTCTTGGATTTGCCATGATTAGTACAAGTTTATAGCAACATACAGATTCATAATTTTTTTCTGAGGTAATTAATCATTGCTAGGTCAAGTAGAAGAATTGAGTTTGCTCATTAAGTAAGAAAACATGGCTGTTTTTTAAATAGTAGTTTTATTGTACTTTCTTAAGATTCAAGGTTTAGTCTCTTGTTTTTATGTGACAGCTTTTTATATATGACTGACATTGTAGCCATATTAAAAATCTTAGTTTGCAAAATTGATACTGATCACTCCCTAAATCTTTTCTTCTTCTTCTTTTGAGATGGAGTTTCACTCTTGTTGTCCAGGCTGGAATGCAATAGCGTGATCTCGGCTCACTACACACTCTGCCTCCTGGGTTCAAGTGATTCTCCTGCCTCAGCCTCCCGAGTAACCGGGATTACAGGCATGTGCCACCATGCCTGGGTAATTTTGTATTTTTGGTAGAGATGGGGTTTCTCCATGTTGGCCAGGCTGGTCTCGAACTCCCGACCTCAGGTGATCTGCCTGCCTCAGCCTCCCAAAGTGCTGGGGTTAGAGGCCTGAGCCACTGCGTCCAGCCCACTCCCCAAATCTTTAAACTTCTTTTTGCTTTTAATCCTATGAACAGGTGCTTGTCTTCCATTTGGCTGAAACCATGGATAGGGAGGGCAGGGGCAATATAAATGAAGAGAAAAAACTGATGACTAGGATAAGTGTTGATAGAGAAAATAGATGTATTTCATTTGTATTAGAAGCTAGCAAAAGAATACTGGGCGTGGTGGTTCACACCTGTAATCCCAGTACTTGGGAGGCCAAGGTAGATGGATCACCTGAGATCAGGAGTTCGAGACCAGCCTGGCCAACATGGTGAAACTCTATCTCTACTATAAATAAAAAAACTAGCTGGGTGTAGTGGTGGGCACCTGTAATCCAAGCTATTTGGGAGGATGAGACAGGAAAACCACTTGAACCTGGCAGGCAGAGGTTGCAGTGAGCCAAGATCGTACCACTGCACTCCAGCCTTGGGATAGAGAGAGACTCCATCTCAAAAAACAAACAAACAAACAAACAAAAAACAAACTAGCAAAAGAAGAATGTGAAGAATGTAGAGGCTCATTAAACAAATGTGAAGGATGTTGTGTTGCTGGGTTTACCTTTACTTAGAAACAATCTTACTGCCTGTCAGTAGTAACAAAATACTGCCTGTAGATTTTTTACTTGGTAGAGAAGCCACTCTCAATTAATAAGATTTTATTTTGTTCTTTTGTTGTAGAAATTGGCTTTTATTATTTAAATTGACTTATTGAAATAACAAAATTTCTTTTTTTCTTTGATCTTTTTTTTTTTTTTTTTAATTTACTTTGAGATGGAGTCTCGCCCTGTCACCCAGGCTGAAGTGCAGTGGCATGATCTTGGCTCACTGCAACCTCCGCCTCCCGGGTTCAAGCGATTCTCCTGCCTCAGGCTCCCGAGTAGCTGGATTACAGGCTCTCGCTACCACGCCCAGCTAATTTTTTTGTATCTTTAGTGGAGACAGAGTTTCACCATGTTGGCCAGGCTGGTCTCGAACTCCTGACCTTGTGATCCGCCCCCGCCCCCCCATCCTCCCAAAGTGCTGGGATTACAGGCATGATCCTGTGAGCCACTGTGCCTGTCCACTTATTTTTATTTTTACAGGAGTGTGACTTTTGGTTGTTAAGGAATGACTTTAATATTTTATTTAATGGTGATAAATCATTGCTGGTGTTTCTTCTCATTAGCAAAGTTATTCTAATAATAGTTACTAGGTTTTTTTGTTTTTGTTTTTTTTCAAGACGGAGTCTCACTCTGTCGCCCAGACTGGAGTGCAGTGGCACAATCTCGGCTCACTGCAACCTTTGCCTCCCAGGTTCAAGTGGTTCTCCTGCCTCAGCCTCCTGAGTAGCTGGGACTACAGGTGTGCGCCACCATGCCCAGCTAATTTTTGTATTTTTAGTGGGGGTGGGATTCCACAATATTGACCAGGCTGGTCTCAAACTCCTGACCTCGTGATCCGCCTGCCTTTGCCTTCCAAAGTGCTGGGATTACAGGCTTGAGCCATCATGCCTGGCCAATTACTAGGTTTTTAGCTCTATCTTTGAAGAAGGGACCCCTTGCATTTGGAGGTTCGTTCATCTGTCCACAATGGTTGAATTAGTCCTGCTCTGGGAGAAATATTGTTTAATATTTTTGGACATACTTATCTGCAGATAAGAGACAGAGGCCTTCCTAAATTCAAACAAGTTTTTGCACAGTCTATGAAATATGTTAAAGTAGAATTGCTTAAAACACAGTGTAAATGGTGCTCACTAAAGTAAATATTTTTGAAAGTCTTGAAATTTAGATAACTTTGGCAGTTTTGTTGTTTGCTGTTTTGTCTGTGTGGTAGGGTTTTTTTTCTTTTTCTTTTTTTTTTTTGTTTGGTGACAATCTCACTCTGTCGCCCAGGCTGGAATGCGATGGCACGATCTTGGCTCACTGCAACCTCCGCCTCCCGAGTTCAAGCGATTCTCCTGCCTCAGCCTCCCGAGTAGCTGGGATTACAGGCACCCGTCACCAAGCCCGGCCTAATTTTTGTATTTTTAGTAGAGACGGGGTTTCACCATGTTGGTCAGGCTGGTCTCAAACTCCTGACCCTGGGTGATCCACCCGCCTTGGCCTCCCAAAGTGCTGGGATTACAGGCATGAGCCACCATGCCCAACCAGGTTTTTTTGTTTTTGTTTTTGTTTTTATTTTTATGTTCTTGTTTACTTTTTGCTTTATTCTTGGAAGTTAATAGTTATGTTTTTTCTATGACAAGGTTGGGAATATTTTTGTAGCTACCTCTTTTTTTTTTTCCTCTTCTTGAGAAGGTAGTGAGTACATTTAAATAGATGAGATGTTTCCATTTCCATAGAGTCTCTATTGCATTTCCAAAGGGAGTATCGAGGCAGAGAAGTTCAGGTTGAGAAGCTCTCTGCAAAGGCTCAGGTAACTTAGGCCATTATTTCATATGATTCAGTAGTTCAGTTCCTGTTTTTCAGAAAAATGATTATTTTCATTTGCTGTGTCCAGGGCGCTTCATCTGCTTCTGTCTTAGAACTGTTTTTTGTTTGTTCTGAGACAGAATCTCACTTCCGTCACCCAGGTTGAAGTGCAGTGGGCACAATCATGGCTCACTGCAGCCTCGACTTCTGCGCTCAGCTGATTCTCCCACCCCAGCCTCTAGAGTAGCTGGGAGTACAGACACACAACACCACACCTGACTAATTTTTAAATGTTTAGTAGAAACAAGGTCTTACCCTGTTGCCCAGGTTGGTCTCGAACCCCTGGGCTCAATTGATCTGCCTGCCTCGGCCTCCCAAAGTGCTGGGATTACAGGTGTGAGCCACCTTGCCCAGTTGCAGAACTGTTTTTTGTTGTATTTTCTGTAGCCCAGCCTCTCTAGTGTTCTTCAAGTATGTGAGGTGCTAAATTTACTAACAAGGTATTTTCTGTTTTTTACCCTTTAAATCAGGTAGGGACTGAATATATGTCATTGAACTTCCTTAGAAACTTGTATTTTCACTCTTATACTAGAAAATGTTTGAGATTTAGGCTAGGCACAGTGGCTCACCCCTGTAATCCCAGCACTTTGGGAGGCTGAGGCAGGCGGATCACTTGCGGTCAGGAGTTTGAGACCATCTTGGCCAACATGGTGAAACCCCATCTCTACTAAAAATACAAAAATTGGCAGGGCGTGGTGGTGTACATCTATAGTTCCAGCTACTCAGGATGCTGAGGCAAGGGAATCACTTGAACCTGGGAGGCGGATGTTGCAGTGAGTCAAGATAACACCACTGCACTCCAGCCCAGGCGACAGAGTGAGAGTCTGTCTCAAAGAAAAAACAAAGGGCACAGTGGCTCACGCCTGTAATCCTAGCACTTTGTGAGGCCGAGGCAGGTGGATTACAAGGTCAGGAGTTCACGACCAGCCTGGCCCACATGGTGAAACCCCGTCTCTACTAGAAATACATAAAAAATGAGCCAGGTGTGGTGGCGGGCGCCTGTAATCCCAACTGCTTGGAAGGCCGAGACAGAAGAATTGCTTGAACCTGGGAGGCAGAGGTTGCAGTGAGCCAAGATCACGCCACTGCACTCCAGCCTGGGCAACAGAGCAAGGCTCCATCTCAAAAATAAAAAGAAAATTGAGATTTAGATAAAACACTAATTTAGCAAGCTCTCTCACTAGTAGAGAAGGACACTACATTTTATTACTTATCAAAAAGTCAGCTTGTGAATAATTTTTTCAGGGTTATCCGAAAAAGCAGGGAAAGAAAATGTATTGAAAATATTAGTGTAGCAAATTCTAGATAAAATTAGAATTGTATTTTAACATTTTTATGACATTCTTGAAAATTCTTAATATTCATTGGTAAACCTATTTTTGTTTAGGATATCATGAAAGTTGTTTGAATTCATATGTTCAGGAGTCAGGAAAGTTCTGGTAAACCTGAGGAGCAAACATTTTTAGTTATGTAATAATTGGATGTTATCTTTTTCTTCTATTAAAATTTTGAAAGTATTTATACTTACTTTAACTGTGCTCCTTTAAGAGCACAGAGATACATAATTGACAGGAAACCTCACTAGTATTAGGGGAATATCTGGTAGTGTGTAACAGACATGCCCAAACATAAACAATGTTTTGTGTTTAAATAGGTTTAAGCTGGGCTTACAGGCTGGCTTTTTAGTGAGTTCATGTGTAAAAATGAATAAAACAAGTCATAGCATTTTTAGTTTTACTTTGCATTTTGTGTTTATTCAGAATGATTACATTATGATTTCTGTTAAATGGTTCTGTTAATGTAATGATTACATTCTACTTTCTGTTAAGAGATTGCATTAGTAGTCAGGACATAGTGTGCTAACTGAAATTATTGTAATGTTCAATTGATATGATATTGAACAAACTGCACACTTTTATTGGAATTACATAGTGAAGGGTCCTTCTAATATATTTGGGCTTTAGAAGAATCAACCAAAGAAAGCATGATCTACTTTTAGGCTAGATAGACATATGATAACTGTTATCAACAGACTTTTTTTGAGACAGGGTCTCACTCTGCTGCTCAGGCTGAAGTACAGTGGCACGATAATGGCTCACTAAAGCCTTGACCAAGCTGTCCACCTGCTTTGGCCTCCCAAAGTGCTGGGATTACAAGTGTGAGCCTCCCGGCCTGGCCATCAACAGATTTTTCTTCTTAAAAATAAGTCTTATGTTAACTGGGACACAAAAATTAAAACTTTTGCTATGTCATTCATATTCTCTTCTTGTGTTACCACATACTCTTTTGAAATTTAAAAAGTGTTTAGAATGATAGATTGTTGAGCACTGGTATATTGGATTAGAGCTCAGATCCAGTTTTTCTAAGTTATAATATTTGTAAATGTCTGGCAGTTTTCTTTAGAAAAATTTAATTCTTCATATGCTCCAGGTTGTATTGTGCTACTGGACACTGGTCTTATGGGAATGAATTATTTACTGTTAGTTTTTGTTGTTGTTTTGAAATGGAGTCTTGCTCTGTTGCCCAGACTGGAGTGCAGTGGCACGGTCTCTGCTCACTGCAACCTCCACTTCTCGTGTTCAAGCAATTCTCCTGTCTCAGCCTTCCAAGTTGCTGGGACTACAGGCACGTGCCACCACACCTGGCTAATTTTCGTATTTTTAGTAGAAACGGGGGTTTGCCATGTTGGCCAGGCTAGTCTTGAACTCTTGTCCTCAGGTGATCCACCCACCTCAGCCTCCCAATGTGCTAGGATTACATGTGTGAGCCACTGCACCCAGCCTACTGGTAGTTTTTTTGTTTTGTTTTGTTTTCCTTTTTTCCCCCGCCCTGAGACGGAGTTTCACTCTTGTTGCCCAGGCTGGAGTACCATGGCACGATCTCAGCTCACTGCAACCTCCACCTCCTGGGTTCAGGCGATTCTCCTGCCTCAGCCTCCCGAGTAGCTGGGATTACAGGCGCGTGCCAGCACGCCTGGCTAATTTTTGCGTTTTTAGTAGAGACAGGGTTTCCCCGTGTTGGTCAAGCTGGTCTCAAACTCCTGACCTCAGGTGATCACCCGCCCCGGCCTCCCAAAGTGCTGGGATTACAGATGTGAGCCACCACACACGGCCTACTGTTAGTTTTGATTTGCCTAGTTACAGAAGTTATGTTATGTTTGTTTATTTGTATCATAAGTAATCTGTAAGTTATATCTATTTATATGGGCTGTTATATATGTTTATGTGGCTCCACCGTTACAGCTCTTCATGACTGAGAGCCAAAGATGGGTACTTCTGAGCTACAACCCTTCTTTTTACAAATTATGATTATTATAATTTGTAATAAACTGTGCTAGTAGGCTCTATTTGCAAAGTCATATTGACATGTTGTGGCAAATCCTTGATCCAGGAGTCATTCAACTGACTTAACTAGCTACTGTCATGTCATACCAACCTTGATTTGAAAATATCTGATTGTAGTATCTAATGAGTGACCTCTTGGAGTAGTGATGTAAAAAAAAAGCAACAACAACTTCATTGTACTTGTTAGTAAATTATATGCCAAACCTTTTACCGTTTGCATTTTTTAAAGGTAGATTATAATTTTTTTTTTTTTTTTTTTCCGAGACAGAGTCTCGTTCTATCACCCAGGCTGGAGTGCAGTGGTGCAATCTTGGCTCACTGCAACCTCCGCCTCCTGGGTTCAAGTGATTCTTCTGCCTCAGCTTCCCGAGTAGCTGGGATTACAGGCACGTACCACCATATCCAGCTGGTTTTTGTATTTTTAGTAGACATGGGATTTCACCATGTTGGCCAGGCTGGTCTTGAACTCCTGTCCTCGAGTGATATACCCGCCTTGGCCTCCCAAAGTTCTGGGATTATAGGTGTGAGCCACCGTGCCTGGCCTAGATTATACTATTAATTGTTTATTTTCTATCATTTGGTTTTTTGGTTGCTCAGAGTTTCCTAATGTGTAAATGTACAGGTAAAGTACAGGTGGAAGCAAAAATATCTGTTTAGAACAAGTAAACAAAACAAATTTCATGTTGTATCTGTACACAGTTTGCTTCATTGTGAGACCAGAGAAAAAAACTAGGTACATATTTTTAATAAGAAAAGATACTTTATTCTTGAAAGGTTTTTTTCTTTGGCACTTATAAATAACAAGAATGTTATTTATACTTTTTAATGGTGACTTACAAATAAGTCAAATTTATGAACTAGTGAATCTTTTTAACTTACTAATGGTATGAAGACATACTTTTGAGACATTTGGAGAATAAATTATACATGTGTATAGGTTAAAAGTTTTTAAAAATCTTCCATCGTAATAAAACAAACTTCCCTTTATATAAGCACCATGAGTTTAATGATTTTAGCACTAGTGTTACATGCAATGCCCAGTACTAACAATATGGGATGGTTTTCCTATAATTTTAGGATTATTTCCATTCAGTTCTTGGACCTGCAAACATCAAAAAAGCCGTTGAAGAAGCTGAAAGACTCTCTGAAAGCCTTAAACTAAGGTACAGATATTATGAAATACTTAAAATAATGTAAATTTAGAAGATAATATTTAAGATTTACTGATTTATATCTGACGATTCGTATAATATTCCAATTTTTTTTTTTTTTAGACAGAGCCTTGCTCTGTCGCCCAGACTGAGGTGCAGTGGTGTGATCTCGGCTTGCTGCAAGCTCCCCTCCTGGGTTCACGCCATTCTCCTGCCTCAGGACTGCAGGTAGCTAGGACTGCAGGTGCCCACCACCACGCCTGGCTAATTTTTTGTATTTTTAGTAGAGACGGGATTTCACCATGTTAGCCAGGATGGCCTTGATCTCCTGACCTTATGATCCACCTGCCTTGGCCTCCCAAAGTGCTGGGATTATAGGCGTGGGCCACTGCTCCTGGCCCCAGTATTTCTGAGTTATAATATTTATAAGTTTCTGGCAGTATTCTTTAGAAAAATTTAATTCTTCATATGTTCTTTGGTGGATTCTGCTCCTGGACACTATGCTTATGGGAATGAAGTATTTACTGTTAGTTTTGATCTGCTTAGTTACAGAAGTTATTTAAATTTAGAAAAAAAAAACTGATTCTGGTATTTGCCATGACTTGCTTACAAGGTTTATAAAAATAATTACAAAACAAAAACAGTATGTTTCAGTTTTTAGTCGTTAGTCTTTTTTTTTTTTTTTTGAGACAGAGTTTCACTCTTGTTTCCCAGGCTGGAGTGCAGTGGTGTGATCTCAGCTCACCGCAACATTTACCTCTCGGGTTCAAGTGATTCTGCTGCCTCAGCCTCCCGAGTAGGTGGGATTACAGGCATGTGCCACCATGCCCGGCTAATTTTGTATTTTTAGTAGAGACAAGGTTTCTCCATGTTGGTGAGGATGGTCTGGAACTCCCAACCTCCAGTAATCCGCCTGCCTCGGCCTCCCAAAGTGCTGGGATTACAGGCATGAGCCACTGCACCCGGCCATTAGTCATTCTTTAAAATTTAAATTGTTTCCCTTATCAACAACATAATCTTGTCATGTAGCTCCTAGTAGATAAATTTTTGCCTGTATCTGTAGCATAAAAAAATGTTAATTAATAAAACCAAAAGCATTCTCAGCAATATGATACAGGAGAGAACAATGGAACTGGTTTTAAGTGATACAAGCTGCCAAAGCCTGGCTAGTGAAAAATGGCAAACTGAGAGATGTTTGATGCAAATAATAAATAGAAGGAGGAAACTGAAAGATTTAACCAGGGTGACATATTTCTTTCCTGGCTTGAATTTTTTTTTCACTAACAGTGTATCATATGTTACTTGTATTTAAAAATATTCTGACCAGGAGCAGTGGCTCAGGTCTGTAATCTCCCTCACTCCTTTCTCATTATCCACCTCCATCACCCCCTCTCTCTCCCATCCACTCTCCGTGCAAAGTGGCAGGCGGCTGTAGTCCCGGCTACATATGTTACTTGTATTTAAAAATATTCTGACCAGGAGCAGTGGCTCAGGTCTGTAATCCCTGCACCTTGAGAGGCCCAGGCGGCCGGATTACTTGAGGCCAGGAGTTTGTGACCAGCCTGGCCAATATGGTAAAACCCTGTCTCTACTAAAAATACAAAAAAAGTGGCAGGCAGCTGTAATCCCAGCTACTCAGGAGACTGAGGCAGGAGAATCGCTTTAGCCCGGGAGGCAGAGGTTGCAGTGAACTGAGATCTTGCCACTGCACTTTAGCCTGGGTGACAGAGTGAGACTCCATCTCAAAAAAATAAAATAACTCTCAACTTATAAAGGAAGTCATCGAGAAAATGATTCATTATTTAGATATTTACTTTTTATGGCCTGATAGAATGGCTCATCTTTCAGTGTAATGAGGTCCCTGTTACTAAATAACCGCTGGGTCCTTTGCAATTCTAAGGCTTTTTAAATGTACTTTGAATTTTTCCTGTGTATAGGTTATTTTGCAGCTAGATGTGGAGAACCTTTTCACTCTGTTTTTCTCCCTGTCTGTCCTCTCCCAGCCTCCTGCCCCATGTTGGTGTCTTTCATGGACATTTAGAGCAACTCTGTGTGAACATATCTTCATATCTGTCCTGTCCTAATTCTGTAATAAGTCAACCACAGAGCTCTTTTCCTCCTTTAAGTCTCTGAAATCTGCATGACTAGGATTTCTCTCTTGTCAGGCTGGCAGTCTGAGAATGGGCATGAGGGTATATGCTCTCTAGGTTTGGAGAAGAGATTATAGCTTTAAAGTGAAAGCCCTCAACATCTTGGGATAAATTTTCTGCTAAATTCTGCCCAGTCATCTGACGTCATGGTCTACGACCGTGGAGGCGTGTGTGCCCAGCGGGGTCCGTGGCCCGCTGTCCCGTGTCCCAGGGATGGCTGCACGGGCTCTGGGGTGGCCACTATAGACATAGTCCCAGATTCTGAAAAAAACGCTTTAGCAAAAAGACCTAGAAAGTGGCTAGAAAACAGATTTCAATATCACCTGCCTTTAAGGAATACTTGTTAAGCATTTGTTTGCCTGTCCCATTTCTTATTATTGTCTTTTTTCATGGACACCTCTCATACCATAGACTTAATCCATTTCTGTTACATTCATGTTAGGGGAGGTCTTAGACGTAATTTTGACCAAGTCTGGAGGTATCAGAATCCTAGTAAAAGGGATTAAGCGGGTAAAATAATCACAAGTCAGTTTCAGAGAGCATGCCTTGCTCTCACTTCAGCTTACCAACTGAAGCTGCAAAGTAGGAGACACATCAGCTCTAATTAAATTAGATTTATGGAGACTGTAGAACAAATGCAAGGTAGGCGGTAAGGTGTGGATAAGAGAAGAAAATAGGAAAAAAGAATCTTAAAGTTTTTTCATTTCTGCTCTCAAATTGGATTTAGGCTGACTGTGCTTACTTCTTAGGGCAGACAGTTCACATACTGTTCCAGCATAGAACACTGCTAGAGAAGAAATATAGAGCAGTAGGTAAGTGTACGGAGCCAGACTCCCTGGGTATGGATCCCAGTTTTTTTCTTATTAATTGTGTGAGCTTGGGCAAATTACTTAGCCTCCTTCTGCCTCAGTTTCCTCATCCGTAACTAGGATAATCATAAAACCTACCTCATAGTGCATTAAGAAAATTAACATTTACAGACACTTAGATGGTGTCTGGCACATATCAAATACTCAGTAAGTGTTTGTACTATTTTCGTTGTTATTAATAGTGGAAGCATTCTTGTTCTGTAATACCTTTCGTCCTGGCACTCTAGTGATTTGCATTGAGGAGGCAAGGTAAAACAGTTGCATAATTTTGCTCTTTCACTTGTGTATCTAACAGTGAAATGATGCTGGCATATGAGGTAGGCAGGAAAGTGGTGTTGATGTTTCCGTAGAGATAATAGGGATACATGCTTGCTATTCTATGACCGAGTTCTTAACACAGTGCAGTAGAGAAGTGGGGGAAGTGAGCACACTGATAAGCAAGGTCCTGCTGGAGATTTGAGAATCCATTATCCCTGCGTATTGCCTAAGCAGATGGAATATGGTGAAACATCTGTTTTTGTAAAATTCTGTCTGAAGTTATTCAGTTTTTCTTTTTCCTCTCACATCTCTTGATGGGTTCATCATTCACTTTTGTTCCATTTATTTTATTTTAACACACTAATTTTCATGAATCTGTTGTTTTCCCAGTAGAACTTTAATTTATTTTGAAATATTTTCTAATTTCCCTTTCTTCCTTGACCTGTGGATCATTTAGAAATGTGTCGTTTAATTTCCAAATATGTGGGATTCTTCTTATATCTTATTGATTTCTAATTTAATTTCATTGTGGCTAAAGACATTCAGTCCTTTTAAATGTATTCTTGTTTTATGGCTAGGCATGTGGTCTCTCGGTGAGTGTACCATGTGCACTTGCAAAGAAAATGTGGTTGTCAAATATACTGTTCTCTATATGTCATTCAGGTCAGAATGGCTGATAATGTTCAGATCTTCTTTGTCTTTCCTGATTGTGGGGTGGAGGTTCAAGTTGTAACAATTACTGAGAGAAGGGTGTTAAAATATTTAACTGTATCTATTTATGCCTTTAGTTCTCTCAGTTTTTGTTTCATGTATTTTGAAATTCTGTTTTTAGGCACATAAACATTTATGGCCCTTATAGTTTTCTTGATGAATTGACCTTTTTATCATTATGTCCCTCTTAATCTCTGGGAATACTTTTTTTTTTTTGGAGACAGGGTCTCACTCTGTCATGAAGGCTGGAGTGTAGTGGCATGATCTTGGCTCACTGCAACTTCCACCCCCAAGATCAAGCGATCCTCCCACCTCGGCCTCCCCATGTAGCTGGGACTATAGGCACACACCACCACGCCTGGCTAATTTTTGTGTTTTTTGGTAGAGATGGAGTTTTACCACGTTGGCCAGGCTGGTCTTGAATTCCTGACTTCAGATGATCCGCCTGCCTTGGCCTCCCAAAGTGCTGGGATTATAGGCGTGAGCTGCCACACCCCGCCCTCATCTTCATTCTTACAGGATTCTATGTTGACAGGTTTTAATTTTCCCTTTTGTCACTTCAGAGCTGCTATTCCACTGTCTTCTGGCCTCCATTGTTTCTGATATTAAGCATTTTTTCTGCCTCATTTTCATGTTCTTGCTGGAATTCCAGCTATACATATGATAGGCTTTTTGATTTTGTCCAGTGAATCCCTAAGGCTTTGTTCTGTTTTGTTTTGTTTTAATCATTTTCTCTTTGTTTTTCAGATTGGATAATTTTCTTTTTTTTTTTTCAGACGGAGTCTCACTCTGTCTCACCCTGGCTGGAGTACAGTGGCACACGATCTTGGCTCACTGCAGCCTCCACCTCCCGGGTTCAAGCAATTCTTCTATCTCAGCCTCCCAAGTAGCTGGGACTACAAGTGTGTGCCACACACCTGGCTAATTTTGTATTTCTACTAGAGGTGGGGGTTCACCATGTTGACGAGGCTGTTCTCAAACTCCTGACCTCAGGTGATCCATGCACCTCGGCCTCCCAAAGTGTTGGGATTATAGGCATGAGCCACCACGCCCAGCCTGGATTGAATAATTTTTATCACTCTTTTATCCTTTTTTTCTTTTGAGACAAGGTCTCACTCTGTTGCCCAGGCTGAAGTGCAGTGGCATGACCCTAGCTCACTGCATCCTCAAACTCCTGGGCTCAAGCAATCCCACCTCAGCCTCCTAACATTGGTAGGACTACAGGCACACACCTCTGCTCCTGGCTAATTTTATATTTTATAGAGATGGGGTCTTACTATATTGCCCAGGCCAATTCTTCCTTCAAATACTGACTGTTTACTTTGTCATCTCCAATTTTCTATTGAGTGAATTTTTTTCAGTTACATGTTTCAATTCTAGAATTTCTTCCTTTTTTTTTTTTTTTTGAGACAGAGTCTCACTCTGTTGTCCAGGTTGGAGTATATAGTGGCGTGAACACAGTTCACTGCAACCTCAGGTTTCCTGGCCTCAAGTGATTCTCTCACCTTCACCTCCTGAACAGCTGGGACTACAGATGCACACCACCAGCCCAGTTAGGTTTTTTTGTGTTTTTTTGTAGAGACAGGGTTTCACCATGTTTCCCAAGCTGGTCTCAAGCCCTAGGCTCAAGCAGTCCTCCTACCAGGGCCTGCCAAAGTGTTAGGATTCTAGGCATGAGCCACTGTGCCCAGCCCAATTCTAGAATTTTGATGTGGTTCTTTTTTATAGTGTCTATTATTTTTTTGCAGAGATTTCCTATTTGTTCATTTATTGCAAGCACATTTTCATTTATGCCCTTGAGCATAGTTGTAACAGCTGCTCTAAAATCTTTGTATGCTAAATGCATCATCTTAGAGTCAGTATGCAGTGCCTTTTCTTTTATTGTTGTCCTATTTTTCTTTTTTTGGTAGTAGTAACCTTGGACATTGTGAATGATAAATTTATAGGCTCTGCACTCTTCTTTGGTCCTCTGAATAGTAGTCGTCGTTGTTGTTGTTGTTGTTTTGTCCCAATAAGCAGTTAACTTGGCTATACTCAAACGAAAAGTTTTCTGTCTTGTCTGTGGTAAGTGGCAACTGACATTCTTTTCAATTCTTTTAGACTTAGCTGGTCGCCTTAGTATCTTTCCCAGGTGTGCTTAATTCAGGTGTCAGCTGGCAATTTGGGCAAGTCTATACAAAGAATTTGGAACTCTGGTTCTCTGGGATTGGGGTTTCTATTGGAATTTTAGCTGTTTTCAGCACTGAGGCCTGCCTTAGGTGTGAAACCATAAAAAATGGGAATCTTACTGATGCCCTTTGTTTCTTTCAAGTGTCAACCCCATCTACTTTCTTCCTGATTATGGCAGTTTTCTAATCCTTCAGGTAGTTGTAGGTCATCCAGAGGTTATAGTTGTGAGCGGTTCAGAACAATGGAAACTACTAAGTCATTACCAAAATTAGAATTCTCTCTCCTACCTTTATTTTTTAAAGGATAGCATTTTTAAAATAGTGTGTCATAATCACCATGTTCCTATCAATATTAGTGATCATTTCAGTCAATGGAATAAATAATTCAGAAGGAATTGCTAAGCATAAAGATAGAAATTAACTTCTTAGGCCAGGCAGGGTGGCTCATGACTATACTCCCAGCACTTTGGGAGGCCAAGGTAGACGGATCACGAGGTCAGGAGTTCAAGACCAGCCCAGCCAACATAGTGAAACCCCGTCTCTACTAAAAATACAAAAAAATTAGCGGGCCGTGGTAGTGGGAGCCTGTAATCCCAGCTACTTGGGAGGTGAAAGCAAGGAGAAACACTTGAACCTGAGAGGCGGAGGTTGCAGTGAGCCGAGATCCCGCCACTGCACTCAAGCCCAGGTGACAGTGTGAAACTGTCTCAAAAAAAAACACAAAAAATTAACTGCTTAATGGCTGGACATGGTGGCTCACACCTGTGATCCCAGCACTTTGAAAGGCCAAGGAGGGTGAATCACCTTAGGCCAGGAGTTCAAGACCAGCTTGGTCAACATAGTGAGACCCCTTTTCTACTAAAAATGCAAAAATTAGCTGGGCACAGTGGCATGCGCCCGTAATCCCAGCTACTCAGGAGGCTGAGGCAGGAGAATTGCTTGAACCCAGAAGGTGGAGGTTGCAGTGAGCTGAGATCATGCCTTTGCACTCCAGCCTGGGTGACAGAGCAAGACTCCATCAAAAAAAAAAAAAAATGAAGTGGCTGCTCAGATTATTTGGGGAAGCCCTATTTTCCTAACTATTTCTCTTTTACTTGAGAATAACTTACAGCTTTTGTGTGACATGCTAATTTCTTCTACAGAGCTAAAAAAATTTAATTTCTATTTAGGTGCATGAATGATCTTATTGATAGATAGCATTTTGGTCCTCTTAACATGATGTTTAATGTTAATTTTCAAATAATTGGGTTCAAGATTATCTTTAAGTAACAAATTTAAATAGTTTTGGTCACTCTTAACATGATGTTGAAAATGTGTGGTACCAAATAATTTTGAGTTCAGAAGTCATCTTTAAAGTAAACTTAAAATTTTAAATATGTGAAGCTGGCACAATTCTTTGAATAGTCACCTTTTCTATATAGTTTTTTCTGTTTATTTAGAAATTTTTCATTTTGGAGTATTCACTCAAAAGAGCATATAAGGCTGGGTACGGTGGCTCACACCTGTAATCCCAGCACTTTGGGAGGCTGAGACGGGTGGATCACCGGACGTCAGGAGTTCAAGATCAGCCTGGCCAACATAGTGAAACCCTGTCTCTACTAAAAATACAAAAATTAAGTGGGTGTGGTGGCACACACCTGTAGTCCCAGCTACTTGGGAGGTTGAGACAGGAGAATTGCTTGAACCCAGGAGGCAGAGGTTGCAGTGAGCCAAGATCATGTGACTGTACCCCAGCCTGGGTGACAGAGTGAGACTATGTCTCAAAAGAGAAAAAAAAAACACAGCCAGCCACAGTGGCTCACACCTGTAATCCCAGCACTTTGGGCGGCCGAGGCAGGTGAGTCACCTGAGGTTAGGAGTTTGACACAAGCCTGGCCACATGATGAAACCCTGTCTCTACTAAAAATACAAAAATTAGCCAGGCATGGTGGTGTGTGCCTGTAGTCCCAGCTACTCAGTAGTCTGAGTCAGGAGAATTACTTGAACCTGGGAGATGGAGGTTGCAGTGAACTGAGATTGCGCCAATGCACTCCATCCTAGGCGACAGCGAGACTCTGTCTCAAAAAAAAGAAAGAAAAGAAAAAAAGAACATATAAAATGTAAAGATACAATGAAGAATAATAAAATGGAAACTATTGATTCATCTTTTACTAATTATTGACCCTAGTCAATTATTTTTTTTTTTTTTCCTTGTTCTGTCTTCTCTCTCTCTGTCTTTAAATTTGAAGCTCACAGGCATTGCCGAGCATTGATAATTAGGGCAAACAAGATTGCAGGTCTATGGTAACATACAGTCTGTCCTGGCAATAATAGCAAACATTGCCATTCATTCATTTACTTATTTATTTGGAGATGGAATCTCACTCTGTTACCCAGGCTGGAGTGCAGTCACATGATCTTGGCTCACTGCATCCTCTGCCTTCCCAGTTCAAGTGATTCTCCTGCCTCAGCCTCCCAAGTAGCTGGGATTACAGATATGCGCCACCACGCCTGGCTAATTTTGTATTTTTAGTAGTGATGGGGTTTCACCATGTTGGTCAGGCTGGTCTTGAACTCCTGACCTCACATGATCCACCTTCCTTGGCCTCCCAAAGTCCTGGGATTGCAGATGTGAGCCACCGCACCCAGCCACCTATAATTTAGTAGGGAATAGTTCTAAATTCCTTGGATATCTGCTAACTGTAGTTCAGATAACTGTTTAACTGCCAACAAGTTGGAAATTTCAGTGAAGTCATCCTTTAAAAAAACGTAACTTGGGACTTTGGTAATACTTTCCACTGCTTTTTGAATGCTCCTTTTTACAGTTTTATCCTAAATTATAAAGTAAGTGTGATATTTGGGCTGTTTCTTTTGCAGAAAGAATTAGGACTTTTTCTTTGAAAAGCAAATTGCAGCAGATTTGAATCAATATAAAAGGTTGAAATTAGTAGGAGAGAAAGCAAAAGGGACTAAATAACTTCAACTTGAGAACATACAGTTTCTTTTTAAGAGTTCTGGGCAATTTGAAGTAAATCCACAGATGACCTCAGGCGGCAGATGTGTGAATTGTGGAGGGAGAAAGCATGTAGCCATGAAATAACTCAAGGGAGGATACTAATTTTACAGAACTGAAACTCTAATTTCCACAATTAACGCCAATGAAAGACAATCTTGACTTATTTTTTCAACTAGATATGAAGAAGCCGAAGTCCGGAAAAAACTTGAGGAAAAGGACAGGCAGGAGGAAGCACAGCGGCTACAACAGAAAAGGCAGGAAACAGGAAGAGAGGATGGTGGCACGTTGGCTAAAGGTTCTTTGGAGAATGTATTGGATTCCAAAGACAAAACCCAAAAGGTATTTCAAATTTAATGTGAGTTAAAAGACCATTTCTGCTTGTCAGATGATTTGCTTAAAAAGAGTTGAGATACCACTATAAAGTTCTTTTAGGCAACAAGGATAAAATTTAATGTTTTAATTAGAAATTTATTTAAAGCTGGGCATGGTGGCTCATGCCTGTAATCCCAGCACTTTAGGAGGCCGAGGCGAGCAGATCACCTGAGGCCAGGAGCTCGAAACCAGCCTGGCCAACGTAGTGAAACCCCATATCTACTAAAAATACAAAAGTTAGCTGGATGTGGTGGCGTGCGCCTGTAGTCCCAGCTACTAGAGAGGCTGAGGTGGGAGAATCGCTTGAACCCGGGAGGCAAAGGCTGCAGTGAGCCGAGATCGTACCATTGCACTCCAGCCTGGGCAACAGAGCAACTCTGTCTCAAAAAAAAGAAAATAATTTGAATTAAATATTCTAGCCTCAGTTGACTTCAGATTTTTCTATGAATTTCTATAGCAATATTTTCTGTGCATTCGTTTTTTAGCAGACATTATAAACTTAATTAGAGCAATAGAAAGATCATTTGAGCTGAGCTGTGATTTATTATATCTGCATCTGGTCCTGTGTCAAAACTTTTTTAACCACTCTGGGACTGTTTTCTTGTTTCCCAAATTATAGTATTGAAATAGACGATTTTTAAGTTTCTTCTTTCTAATCATGTAATTTACATTAAAAGATTTAATATACTCCTTTGGTACCAAGGCTTTTATCTGTTTCTGAGGTCTCATTCTTTTCATTCTTTTTCCTTTGCTTTCTCCTCCTTTTTCTCCCCCAGTTTTCCCCTTTCTCTCTCTCTCTCTCTCTCTCTTTTTTTTTTTTTTTGAGACAGTCTCATTCTTGTCGCACAGGCTGGAGTGCAATGGCGTGATCTTGGCTCACTGCAACTTCCACCTCCTGGGTTCAAGCGATTCTCCTGCCTCAGCTTCCCAAGTAGCTGGGATTACACCCGCCACCACACTCGGCTAATTTTTGTATTTTTAGTAGAGACAGGGTTTCACCATGTTGGCCAGGCTGGTCTCCAACTCCTGACCTCCAGTGATCTGCCCGCCTCAGCCTCCCAAAGTGCTAGGATTACAGACCTGAGCCACCACGCCTGACTCTTTTTTTTTTTTTTGAGACAGAGTTTCACTCTGTTGCCCAGGCTGGAGTATAGTGGTGGGATCTCAGCTTGCTGCAACCTCTGCTTGCTGGGTTCAACTAAATCTCCTAGGCCTCAGCCTCCTGAGTAGCTGGGATTACAGGCACCCACCACTACCCCCAGCTAATTTTTGTATTTTTAGTAGAGATGGGGTTTCACCATGTTGGCCAGGCTGTTCTTGAACTTCTGACCTTAAGCAGTCTGCCCACCTTGGCCTCCCAAAGTGCTGAGATTACAGGAGTGAGCCACCGCGCCTGGCTTCTCTCCCATTTTTTCTCATCTGTTTAGTGACTACTTGTGGTCTTTTCAGCTACATCATCTCTTTGCCAAAAGCCATCAGTGACTTAGTCTGTAGCTGCCAGCTATCACTGTACCTCCCTTCCTTTACCTCCTCGGAAACTATCTTTCCTAAAATATAAGTTGAAATCCATGGGAAAATTTCTGCTTTGATTTTTTTCTTAGGCATTTTGTAGCTTTTAGTTATCATTCCGTGTGGATCATCATCCCTTTCATTAAAAAGTCATTGTTGCCTGGGTGTGGTGGTTCACACCTGTAATCCCAGCACTTTGGGAGGCCAACGTGGGTGGGTCATTTGAGTCCAGGAATTTGAGACCAGCCTGGGCAACATGGAAAAACCCCGTCTCTACAAACTTTTTTTTTTTAAATGGAGTTTCACTCTTGTTGCCCAGGCTGGAGTGCAGTGGTGCAATCTCAGCTCACTGCAACCTCCACCTCCCGAGTTCAAGCGATTCTCCTCCCTCAGCCTTCCAAGTAACTGGAATTATAGGCATGCACCACCATGCCCGGCTAATTTTATATTTTTAGTAGAGACGAGATTTCTCCATGTTGGTCAGGCTGGTCTTGAACTCCCAACCTCAGGTGACCCGCCCACCTTGGCCTCCCAAAGTGTTGGGATTACAGGGGTGAGCCACCACGCCTGGCCTCTACAAACATTTTTTTTTTTAAATTAGCCAGTTGTGGTAGTGCACACCTGTAGTCCCAGCTACTCAGGAGGCTGAGGTGGGAGGATCACTTGGGCCCAGGAGGTTCACGCTGCAGTGATCATGCATCTGCACTCCAGCTTGAGCATTAGAGTGAGACCCTATCTCAAAAAAAAAGGTCTAAGTGGGTCCTTTGTTTCCCCATCTGTAAAATGAGTTAGTACCTTACAGGATTATCCCATGTTGTCTTGGTTAAAAAATGTAAACTACATAGGCCGGGCACGGTGGCTCACACCTATAATCCCAGCACTTTTGGAGGCTGAGGCAGGCGGATTACAAGGTTAAGAGATCAAGACTATCCTGGCCAACATGGCAAAACCCCATCTCTACTGAAAATACAAAAATTAGCTGGGCGTATAGCACGCGCCTGTAGTCCCAGCTACTCGGGAGGCTGAGGCAGGAGAATTGCTTGAATCCAGGAGGCGGAGGTGGCATTGCAATCCAGCCTGGCAACAGAGTGAGACTCCGTCTCAAAAAAAGAAAAAAAGTAAACTACATAAGCAATACTTTGTATTAGTTCATTTTGCTTTAATTATGTGGTGGAGGACACTAAATTGGATAGCGAGAATTTTTGTTTAATTGTAAGAAGTACTTTCTAATCAAATTAAATATTAAATTTCTGTAGCAGTTTGTGCTGTTAAATTGTATTTGGTCTTTAAATGAAGTAAATTTTGAGGAAAAGTTCTATGAGTCTGAAAGGTTGCTAGTTATTTTAGTTGTTGTCTATTGCCAAAGAAATCTTTTATTATCATTATTATTCGTCCGCATTTTTATAAAAAGCCAGTACTCTGCACACTTCATTTCTTAGAGTTTATGTTTAAGTGAAGTAAATGAAGTATTAAAGTTGAATTTTTTGTGTCTATGAAAGTTGAAACTTTTTTTTCCCCCTATTCAATAGAGCAATGGTGAAAAGAATGAAAAATGTGAGACCAAAGAGAAAGGTAAGTGTGTACAGAAAGAGGAAGTTGTTTTAGGTTCTGACTGAGATCTTTTAATCAGAATAAGCATCAGGTTTTATACAATGAGATTGTCAGCATTGTTGTCTAATCTCTGTGTAAGCTTCATCATTTTTCCTAGTCTGTCCAATTATACTGAAAATGTCTGAGGTTATTTTTATGTATTTATGGGGGATATTTTATGAATAATTTTAACCTTACATGTTAAACTGGTAATATGCAGTTGAAAAATGTCAAAACCAAAGCTTGTACTTGTTTTCTTTTCAAGATGCAGTTTAGCAATAATGGCTAAGAGCATGGACTCTCAGTTTGAATACTGGTTCCCCCTCTCCCTTTCTGCAGTTTTCAGCATGTTACTTAAACATTCTACCTTTGTTTCCCTGTCTGTAAAGTGGAGATAATAATAGTACTTATTTCATAGGGTTGTTGTGAGAGTTGAATGAACTAATATATGTAAATTCTTAGAATACATGGTAAACTTTAAGTAGGACTTATTATCATTTATGACTAGGTTGTAGATTTAATTTTTTCTCCCCACATCCATCCTGTGGTCAAAGACTAAATTATTTAAGAGTCATTTACCATCCCCCTTAAAAAAAAATCCAGGCCAGGTGCAGTGGCTCATGCCTGTAATCCCAGCACTTTGGGAGATTCAAGCAGGAGGATTGCTTGAGCCCAGGAGTTCAAAACCAGCCTAGGTAACATGGTGAAACCCCTGTCTCTACAAAAAATACAAAAATTAGCTGGGTGTGGTGGTGTACGCCTGTAGTCCCATCTACTTAGGAGGTTGAGGTGGGAGAATTACTTGAGCCCAGGAGGTTGAGGCCTCAGTGAGCCGTGATCACACCACTGTACTCCAGCCTATGACAGTGAGACCCTGTCTCAAATCCAAACCAGAAATATGGAAGTTATCCATAGGTGGTGTTGACGCTCTAGTGACAAATATGTGACCTAAACAAGACAGCAAATTCTCTTCATCTACTAGAGACATTTTCCTCTCAGAAAAGGTTTACCTTGTCTACAGCCATACCACCTAATGCACCTGATCTCAGAAGCTAAGTGGTATCGGGCCTGGTTAGTACTTGGATCAGAGAAAAGGTTGAATTTAAACATAATTATAGGTAATAGTAAAATCAATTCTGTACTTAAAATATTGCCATACGACAATTATAAAAATAAACTTGAGTATGCTATAAGGTACTTCCCTAAAAGTTATTACTGATTCATTCCAAGATTAGTTTTTATGCATTCGTTCCTTTGTATGTCATCCAGCTTAAATGTGCTTCTCAGTGGTTTGTTATCAGCTTTTTTGGTCTGTTTTGTTAGCTTAACACTTGATGGCTAGAGCTGGAAGGAGGATGATTATTAGCAGCTATAGGTCTTTTAGCATAGGAGCTACTGAGACTACTTCTCACAGCTTACTGCTGAAACAGCTTTTTATATAATCTCAACTCTCTTGTAGTGCCTTTTAATCTTTCACTTCAGTAGGGCTAAGGAAAAATAGTAACATAGGGAATATTTATTTTGACAGATTGCCGCCCTTCCCCAAAAGTAAATAAATTAAATATTGCATTAGCTTTACTTAGTTTCCTTTTTGTTAGCCTTCTTAGAAGGTAAAATAATCTTTTTTCCTTCTGGCTGGGAGCTAACAAATGAACATCAAGTAGAATGAGAATTGGCAAATTTTTCTTAAAGGGATAGATAGTAAACATTTTAGGCTTGGGGAACCTTATGGGGTTGGAGAGCCCTGTGGTCTCTGACACAACTATTGATCTCTGCTGTTGCCGTATGAAAAAATGTGTAAACAAACTAGTGTGGCAGTGATCCTGTAAAAACAGATGGCCATAGTTTTTCAACCTCCGATGTAGAATAGCAAGCTTTTGACTTGTTATTCTAAGAATACTTGGATATCTAAGTTTTTCAAATAGCTACCATAAGACTGCCATCATAGACTTTTTGAATTTAGAACCTTTCCAGAATTTTAGAACCATAGATGTTTCTTTCTTCCAGTTAGCATTTTTCTAATGTCTAAATTTTTGAAAACATATTATTTTCCTAAGACACATATATTAATGTCCTTTATTTTATATTGGTAACAGAGTCAATACCAGATGTAGCTGTAAACTCAACAAAGTTTTGAATTTTAAGTCTTTATAAACAGAACACTGAACTGGTTTCTTGATAAATGTTAAAAACACAAGGCTGGGTGTGTGGTGGCTCACACCTATAATCCCAGCACTTTGGGAGGCTGAGGTGGGCGGATCATTTGAGGTCAGGAGTTCCAGACCAGCCTAGTCAACATGGTGAAACCCCATATCTACTAAAACTACAAAAATTAGCCAGACGTGGTAACAGCCTATGTTCCTAGCTACTCAGGAGGCTGAGGCAGGAGAATCACTTGAACCTGGGAGGTGGAGGTTGCAGTGAGCCAAGATCGTGCCACTGCTCTCCAGCCTGGGTTACAAAATGAGACCCTGTCTCAGGAAAAAAAAACAAGTTATATTTAACGTTAATTTACAAGATAATAAATGGTATGATTGGGTAGTAAATATATGGCATCCGTATATATTCAGTATAATTTGTTCTTCTAGAAAAAGCTGTTTGTCCTATGTTTTGTGATCTCAGCACATCTTGTGCTGTTTCTTGTCACTTATACTGTCTCTCTCAATTCCAAGGAGCAATCACAGCAAAGGAACTATACACAATGATGACGGATAAAAACATCAGCTTGATTATAATGGATGCTCGAAGAATGCAGGATTATCAGGATTCCTGTATTTTACACTCTCTCAGTGTTCCTGAAGAAGCCATCAGTCCAGGGTGGGTTACTATGCAGTAAAGTAGTATGTTGTGTAGTAAGTAGTAAACTGTGGACCTTAGTAAATGTTACTACTTAGGATCCAAGCTAAATGTGATAAAGTAGTCTTTCCTGGTAACCTTTTAAATCTTTGCCTCTTTTTGTGTGTGGGGGTGGGGAGGGGGAGGTGCGTTTTAGGAGCAGAGGTTTAATAGGCAAAAGAAAGAGAAAGGAGAACAACTCTCTCACTTGGGAGAGTGAGGGGTGCCCAAATGGGACTTCCCTAAATCTTGGCTTTTTAAAGACACACTTGACCCTTTTTGAAGGTTGAAGTTACGGATTTGCTAACTTTTTATTTGGCTATTTTCTCCTATTTGTGATATTTAGAATCTTATCAAAAGACAAATGAAGTTGCCTTTTTCCCTCTCTCCCCAAGTGTTTGTTAACTGATTTTTCCTGTTATTTTCTGTTTATGAGCATGTGAATCATATGTACCAAATTGATTAAAATTGTGAACTAATTGAATTGTTTTACATATTGAAATTCCCTATATTATCTGTGATAGAAGCTATACAAATACTTTGTGTGTGTGCTTAAGTTAAAAGAGTATAGTTTCTAATGCCAGACTCTATTCAAATAACTATCACTTACTAATTGCATTATTACTGGCTAGTGACCTAACATTTCTAAGCTCGTGTTTCCATCTGTAAAATGGGGATAATAGTAGAACCTATCTTACAGAGGTTTCAGGAGATTTAAATGAGAAACATTATATACACAGACACACAGGCTTTAGCACAGGTCCTGGCATGAGTAAGGACTTAATTTAAAATTTTTTCTTTCTTTTTTGGTAAGAAGACCTTTAACCTATAAAATAATTTAAAGTGACTTGCATGGGTATATTGTATATTGGAAATCATGGCATAGTGGCAGAGCTAAACCTCCAGATACAGGGCTATTTTCACTATTTCTAGCATTCTTATATAGATCCTGTTACCTCTCTTGGTCTTGGTTTAAAATTATATATTTTTAAAATTAGATAATAAAATCTGTATAGTTCCTGGCATATTGCAGATGCTTGATAAATGTTTGACCTGAAGCATAGAGTGCTTTGTAAATAAGCTATTTAAAAATTAGAGCTCTTAGGCCAGGCGCAGTGGCTCACACCTGTAATCCCAGCACTTCGGGAGGCCGAGGCAGGTGGACCACTTGAGGTCAGGAGTTCCAGACCAGCCTGGCCAACATGGTGAAACCCCATCTCTATTAAAAATGCGTTAGCCAGGAGTGGTGGCGGGCACCTATAATCCCAGCTACTTGGGAGGCTGAGGCAGGAGAATAGCATGAACTCGGGAGGCGGAGGTTGCAGTGAGCTGAGATCACGCCACTGTACTCCAGCCTGGGCTACAGAGGAAGACTCCGTCTCATAAAAAAAAAAAAAAAACTCTTTGAGAAAGACGCTGTCAAAGGTGGTGCTGAGCTGTGGTCAGCCCGCTCCTGCTCCTGCTCCTGCCACACTGCTGTTGCTCTCGCTGAGGAACCAGTTGGTCTGGAAGCCACGCAGCACCCGTGGCTTTTAAAGATACTGGAAAAACACCTGGGGAGCTGGAGGTGTCAGTTCACTGATTTAGAATCACTCTTTATGAGCCGCAGCATAAAATCCCTGGAGAAGGTATGTGTTGACTTGATCAGAGGAGTAAAGAACAAGAATCTCAAAGTGAAAGAACCAGTTCAAATGCCTACTAAGACTTTGAGAATCGCTACAAGAAAAACTCCTTTTGGTGACGGTTCTAAGACATGGGATCATTTCCAGATGAGAATCCACAGACAACTCATTAACTTGCACATCCGTTCTGAGATTGTTAAGCAGATTACCTCCTTCAGTATTGAGTCAGGAGTTGAGGTGGAAGTTCCTATTGGAGATGCTTAAGTCAACTATTTTAATAAATTGATTACCAGTTGTTAAAGAAAAATTAGAGTGCTCAGTCTAATTAAACATGTGAATATATTCCCAGGATTTGAATAGACAAAGTTATAATTAGTCTTTGGGTAGTCTAATCTGTATTAATAGAGAGCTGGTGGTCTTTATTATTGAGTTTACATGGAAGTTTCCCAAAATGTGAGATTTTGACTACTATGAAACTCAAGATGATTTTAGGTTGAAGATTAAAGAACAATGAAATGCACACTGAGAAAATTATTCCCGTTTATTTTATGTTACAGTCCTTTTGAGTCAGTTTAAAGGAGTTTCAGTTTGGTGCTAGTACATCTTTTAAATACTTGCTTACCTCTCTAACTGAAGGGAAACGGTCTCAGAGCTTTCTGTAGGTAGCAGTACCTACAACTAGCTGATAGTGATTACTGTATTTTTTCATTATCTATTTTTATTTATTTATTTTTGAGACAGGGTCTCACTCTGTGCCTGGGCTGGAGTGCAGTGGCATGATTACGGCTTACTGCAGCCTTGACCTCCTGGGTTCAGGTGATCCTCTCACCTCAGCCTCCTGGGTAGCTGGAACTGCAGGCACACGCCACCATGCCCAGCTAATTTTTGTATTTTTTGTAGAGACGGGATTTTGCCGCATTGCCCAGACAAGTCTCAAACTCCTGGGCTCAAACGATCCTCCCACCATAGCCTCCCAGAGCGCTGGGATTATAGATGTGAGCCATTGCATGCGGCCTATCTCGTCTTAAAATTTTAAGCTTTTTATTTTATTGTATTTATTTTAAATTTTTAAATTTTAATTTAATTAAATTTATTTATTTATTTATTTATTTTTGAGGCAGAGTCTTGCCCTGTCACCCAGGCTGGAGTGCAATGGTGTGATCTCAGCCAACTGCAACCTCCGCCTCCTGGGTTCAAGAGATTCTTCTGCCTCAGCCCCGAGTAGCTGGGATTACAGGCATGCACCACCTTGCCCAGCTAATTTTTTAATTTTTAGTAGACACTGGGTTTCACCAGGTTGGCCAGGCTGGTCTTGAGCTCTTGACCTCAAATGATCCACCTGCCTTGGCCTCTCAAAGTGCTGAGATTACAGGTGTGAGCCAGCCACTGTGCCCGGCGTGCCCCCCCCCCTTTTTTGAGACAGGGTCTCACTGTGTTGCTCAGGCTGGAGTGCAGTTGTACAATCTTGGCTCAGTGCAACCTCCGCCTCCCGGGTTCAATTGATCCTCATGTCTCATGTCTCAGCCTCCCAGGTGACTGGGATTATAGGTCTGCGCCACCACATCGGCTAATTTTTGTGTTTTCAGTAGAGACAGGGTTTCACTGTGTTGGCCAGGCTGGTCTTGAACTCCTGGCCTCAAGTGATCCACCCGCATCGTCTTCCCAAAGTGCTGAGATTACAGGTGTGAGTCACGGTGCCCAGCCTGTTTCTTTTTTAAACTTTTCTTTTAGGTTTGGTGGTACATGTGAAGGTTTGTTACATAGGTAAACGTGTCACAGGGGTTTGTTGTACATACATATTTTATCACCGAGGTATAAGCTTGGTACCCAATAGTTAAATCTTTTCTGCTCCTCTCCCTCCTCTTACACTCCCCGCTCAAGTAGACCCCAGTGTCTGTTGTTTCCTTCTTTGTGTTCATAAGTTCTTACCATTTAGCTCCCATATTCTTAACTTTTAATACATTATAGTATATATACCGAAGTACTCCTGTCCTAAGCATCTAGCCCAATCAATTTTCATTAACTGAATGCACCCACTTAATTAGCATCCAGACCAAGAAAAATAACGTTATCATCCCTCCTGAACCCAATATACCTCCTGTAACTTACTACCCGTATACTACTGCCCAAGGAAACCACGAACTTCTAATGGAATATATTCTTTTTGTCTGCTTTTGTACTTTATATAAATGGAATTTATAATATGTAGTCTTTTATATCTGTCTTCTATACTCAACCTATGTTTGTGACAGTCATCTCTGTTATTGTGTGTAGTTGTAGTTTGTTCATTCTCATTGCCATATGGTGTTCTGTTGTGTGACTGTAGCACAGTTTACTTAAATATTTTATTTATCTTCAGATGTACCTTTTACTTACTGGATATGATGCTGTTTTTTCATGTATTTAGGGCCATACAATTTCCTATTAAATTTATTTAAGTAAAAAAGTATTTTTTATTAAATTAATTAAATTTAATAAAGGACAAGTAGAGCAGAGTTAAAGCAAATTGTGAAGGTGGTACATAAAAGACAGAAGTTTGAGAAATGTTGGCGGATACTGTCGTTTCCGAAAGTCTTTTTTGTAGAATACTAATCCTGAAAACAGTATTTAGGTAAATATACCCCAGGTTGGAAATAGTCTTTAAGAATATCATGTTTTATTTTTTTTCCTTCTTTGTTGACCAAGCATCCTTCTGATCTGTGTGTATCAGGAGAGGATAGTATTGGACAATATTTTATATTTATTCTACTTCTTTACTTCCTAGAAGATACAGTAACAATATTATATAGCAAATGGATTTTAAAATTAAAATGATCTTAATTATTTGGTTTTACTTGTGGATAAAAGTTGTACCAGTCCTGCCCAGCTTGCCAGTATCATCAGTTAAATATTGAAATGCCACTATATACTAAGTGCTTTGCTAAGAATAATATGGAGCTCCTTACCCAGAGGCATGAATCTGTATTATTCACTCATTCAATTATTAAACCAATTTTTTTTTTTTTTTTTGAGATGGAGATCTTGCCCTGTTGCCCAGGCTGGAGTACAGTGGCGTGATCTTGGCTCACTGCAACCTCTACCTCCCGGGTTCAAGCTATTCTCCTGCCTCAGCCTCCCGAGTAGCTGGGACTCCCATCATGCACCACCACTTCTAGTTAATTTTTGTATTTTTAATTAGAGACAGAGTTTCGCCATGTTGGCCAGGCTGGTCTCGAACTCCTGACCTCAGGTGATCCGCCTGTCTTAGCCTCCCAAAGGGCTGGGATTACAGGTGTGAGCCATCACGTCCAGCTGATAAAAACAGTATTCACTGAACACTTTCTATGGGCTGGGTTACTATGTTCTAAGTGCTGGGCTAAGCCATTGAACAGACAAAAAATTGTCTTTGGAGCTTTTAACAGAGAGGTGAGATAGGTAAGACACACAATAAAAGCTTGCAGTGTTTAGCTTGTCTTATGTGGAGTGCCGTGGAAATGGGAATGTTGTGTGTGCGTATGCATGTGTGTGTGTTTAGAAAGGCCTCACAGAGAAGTTATTACCAAATCTTGAAGAAATAAGGGAAATGAGTAATGCAGCTATCTGGGGGAAGAGGATTCCAGACGGAAAAAGCAAGAGCAGAGGCCCTTAGGGAAGAGCATGCCTGGATGAACCAGGAATAACAAGGAAGCTAGTAGCTGGAGCGAGTAAAGGGGGCCAGTAGTTAGAGATGACGACGTTGAGCCTTGGGGGTGTATGTCTGTGGCAGGCCATTGTAAGGACTTTAGCTTTTTTTTTTTTTTTTTTTTTTGATAATGGAGCCTCGCTCTGTCGCCCAGGCTGAAGTGCAGTGGCACAATCTTGGCTCACTGCAACCTCCACCTCCTGGGTTCAAGCAGTTCTCCTGCTTCAGCCTCCTAAGTAGCTGGGATTACAGGTGCCTGCCACCACGCCCGGATAATGTTTGTATTTAGTAGACATGGGGTTTTACCATGTTGGCCAGACTGGTCTTGAATTCCTGACCTCAGGTGATCCACCCTCCTCGGCCTCCCGAAGTGCTGGGGATTACAGGCATGAGCCACCACGCCCAGCCGGACTTCAGCTTTTATGGGAGCAAACTATGATGTGAACATTGTGCTTTAAGGTAGAGTTGGTGCTATTCACAGTTGACATTTTTAAGAGGCAGCATAGCAGAGAACATGTACATGAGCCAGATTGCCTGAATTTTAATTCTGGCTCCACTTATCTTGAGCGAGTCACTTAACCTGTTTGTGCCTCACTTTCCCCAAAATAGAAATAATAATGTTTGTCTTATAGGATTGTTGTGAAGACACAATGAGTTCAATGAGAATAAAGCATTTAGAACAGTATCTGGCACATGGTAAATGCTATATGTGTTTGTTGAATAAACATCCTGGTATATGGTGGACTATTATACAGGTATAAGAGAACTGAAATATGAATAATACTACCCAGTTTATATTTGGCTGAAAGAGGAGCTCAGATAATTTTCTCTGTTTTCAGTTTTGCTCCTCCCACTTTTTTTTAAAGGGTCAGAATGAAAAGAATTCAGTCTTCTTTTAGTCTTTAATAACTACTAAAACTATGTTCCAATATTATACAGTAGTGAAGGGGTTAAACATTTTAGGCTGTTTAATATCTTAATATATAATCTCACCTTAGAAAGAAATCTACTTAAAATTTGCTGTGGTGTGGTCAAGACTGTAGAACAAAACTGAGTGTCTTCTGTTAGTATATTAGTACCTCTTGTTGACTTTTGCCCCAATTTCAATGTTAATACATTTCAGAGTCACTGCTAGTTGGATTGAAGCACACCTCCCAGATGATTCTAAAGACACATGGAAGAAGAGGGGGAATGTGGAGTATGTGGTACTTCTTGACTGGTTTAGTTCTGCCAAAGATTTACAGATTGGAACAGTTCTCCGGAGTCTGAAAGATGCACTTTTCAAGGTTTGCAAGTTTCATTGTTTACTGTAATTGCAGGGCACCTCTGGTTGTTAGAAAGGCATGTTAACTAGTTGTTTATCTTTAATACTGAAAGATTGATCATGCTCTTTTTTTTTTTTTTTTTTTTTTTTTGAGACTGAGTCTCACTTTGTTGCCCAAGTGGTAGTACAGTGGTGTGATCTCAGCTCACTGCAATCCTCTGCCTCCCAGGTTCAGGTGATTCTCATGCCTCAGCCTCCTGAGTAGCTGGGACTACAGGTGTGAGCCACCACACCCGGCTAATTTTTGTATTTTTAGTAGAGAGGGGGTTTCACCATGTTGGCCAGGCTGGTCTCAAACTCCTGACCTCAGGTGATCCACTTGCCTTGGCCTCCCAGAGTGCTGGGATTACAGGCTTGAGCAGCCGCTTTGATTGTAGAATTTTTTATAAATTCAGGTTTAAAAGATTTGTTTTGGCTGGGCGTGGTAAAATTAAAACTTAGGTGGGAAAAGATCTTATAAGATTACGAGGCAGGGCCAGATGTGGTGGCTCACGCCTGTAATCCTGGCACTTTGGGAAGCTGAGGCAGGCCGATCACCTGAGGTCAGGAGTTCGAGACCAGCTTGACCAACGTAGAGAAACCTCGTCTCTACTAAAAACAAAAAATTAGTCAGGCATGGTGGTATGCGCCTGTAATCCCAGCTACTCAGGAGGCTGAGGTAGGAGAATCGCTTGAACCCGGGAGGTGGAGGTTGTGGTGAGCTAAGATCACACCATTGCACTCTAGCCTGGGCAACAAGAGCAAAACTCTGTCTCACACACACACACACAAAGATTACAAGGCAGAAGACAGGCAGAAATATTTACAACACACATGGCAGTGGTTTAAAATACCTAAAATCCAAAGAGCTTTTACAAATAAGAAAAATACTTAAGATAAAATAGTAAAGTAAGTTGTGCACACAGATAGCCATGAACAGAAAGTGAAATGCAAGTGGACTTACCCATAAAAATGAGCAACTTTACTAGTATCAGATAAATGCATATTAAAACGAGTGCCCTTTTCACTGATCAAGTTAACAAAGGTTTAAAAAATAATAGGGTTGTCCCTCAGTATCTGTGGGGGATTGGTGCTAGAACCCCCCACAAATACCAAAATCCATGGATAGTCAAGTTTCTTACATAAAATGGTATAGTATTTGCATATAAACTACACATATTCTCTCATATACTTTAAATCCTCTGTAGATTCCTTATAATAACTAATAAAAAGTGCTCTGTAAATAGTTGTTACACCATATTCGTTGGAGAATAGTAACAAGAAAAAAGTCTGTATATGCTCAGTACAGACATAACTATCATAGGCCTAACTATATATTTTTTAAATTTATTTATGTTTTAATTTTAATTTTAATTTTTAGAGACAAAGTTTTTCTCAGTCACCTAGACTTGAGTGCCATGGCACAATCATAGCTCACTGCAGCCTTGAACTCCTGGCTCAAGTGATCCCACTGCCTCAGCCTCCTGAGTAGCTGGGACTACAGGTGCGCACCATGCCTGGCTAATTTTTAAAAATTTTCTAGTGGGGACAAGGTATTGCTATGTTGCCCAGGCTTGTCTCAAAGTCCTGGCTTCAAGCATTCCTCCCACTTTGACCACCCAAAGTGTTGGGATTACAGGCGTGCGCCACTGTGTTGGGCATGTAAGTATATATTTTATTTTATTTTATTTTATTTTATTTTATTTTATTTATTTATTTTTTGAGACGGAATCTCACTCTGTCACCCAGGCTGGAGTGCAGTGGTGCGATCTTGGCTCACTGCAACCTCCGCCTCCCAGGTTCAAGCGATTCTCCTGCCTCAGCCTTTCCAAATAGCTGGGATTACAGGTGCCCACCACCACACCTGGCTAATTTTTGTAGTTTTAGAGGAGACAGGGTTTCACCACGTTGGCGAGACTGGTCTCAAACTCCTTACCTCAAGTGATCTGCCCACATTGGCCTCCCAAAGTGCTGGGATTACAGGCGTGAGCCACTGTGCACGGCCCATCTAAGTGTATTTTAAGTCTGGTTGGTTGAATCTTACAGATACAAGGGGACTCGCTGTACTCAGTTCAACTTGTTAAATTATTTTTTTCTGTAATTTTTATTTTTTGAATTCTAAAATTTCTTTTTACCTATTGTTTTTTGAAGACATATCTTACTCTGCTGCCCAGGCCGAAGTGCAGTGGTGCCATCCCAGCTCACTGTAGCCTTGACATCCTGGGCTCAGGCAGTCCTCCCACCTCAGCCTCCTGAGTAGCTGAAGTGTGCGTCACCATCCTAGCTAATTTTATTTTATTTTATTTTTGTAGAGATGATATTTCACTATGTTGCCCAGGCTGGTCTTGAAACTCCTGTACTCAAACAATCTTCTTGCCTCAGCCTCCCTAAGTGCTGGTATTACAGGTGTGAGCCACCACACCCAGTTAATTTGTTAAATTATTAACAATGATAGCACTGAATGCTGGTGAGCATGTGGTGAGAAGAAAACTCGTTCTGCTGGTAGGAGGGTCAGTTGATTGCCCTTCAGAAAGGCAGTCTTAAAAGCCTTAGAACAATTCATGCTATGTCATAGGGAACCCAGAAATATACCTAAGTATGGGACAATTATATGAAACTGCCAGGATTCAACTGGCATTGACCTACAAATGGCAGTTCGGCAATTTCATAAAGTTCAAACTAAGATATGTAAATGATTAGTGTATGATAAAGGTGACGTAAATCATTGAGGAAAAGATGGATTGAAATGAATGGTTTGGGGACAACTGCCTAGCCAGTAACTAAAAGAGAATGGATCCCTACCTTATTTCTTAGACCAAGCTACATCTCAAATGAATAAAAGATATAAATGTATAGATTTAAACAGCAAACTATTAGGAGAAAGCATTGGTATTTTTTATTACTTTGATACCAAACCAAGATGTCGTAAAGGAAAATGAAGACTGTTTATGGCTGGTCACAGTGGCTCACGCCTGTAATCCCAGCACTTTTGGGAGGCCGAGGCAGGTGGATCACTTGAGGTCAGGAGTTGGAGACCAGCCTGGCCAACATGACGAAACCCCATCTCTACTAAAAGTACAAAAATTTGCCGGGCGTGGTGGTGGGCACCTGTGATCTCAGCTACTGAGGAGGCTGAGGCAGGAGAATTGCTTGAACCCGGTGGGCGGAGGTTGCAGTGAGCCAAGATCGCGCCACTTCACTCCAGCCTGGGCAAAAGAAAGAAGCTCCATCTCAAAAAGAAAAGACATTTAACTGTGTTTAAAAAACAAACAAAAAAAACATAAAGTAAAAATCAGGAAAAATGTTGGCAATATATATGACAAAGACCTTTTTTCCCTAATATTCAGAGTACATTCACTGTTTACTAAAAAAATTGCAAATAACTATAGAAAAGGGGGCAAAGGATGCAATTATTAAATAATTAAGTCATAGAACAATATAAATGCATAGTAAATAAATGAAAAAATGTCCAACTTCGCTAATAAAGAAATGCTCATTAAAACAAGATACCATTTTATGTTCATCAGTTTTGTAAAAATTATGAAGATGTATAATGGGCATTCTCATATCCTGTTGGTTAAGTGTATAAATTGGTATAGCCTTTCTTAAGGGCAACTGGGCATTATATTAAACCAGCAATTCTACTCCTAGGTAATTATCCTTAAGAAATTTTTAAATATAAATATATATAATTTTTCTTTTTTCTCCTCAAGACGAAGTCTCACTCTTATCCCCTAGGCTGGAGTGCAATGGCGCGATCTCAGCTCACTGCAACCTCCACCTCTTGGGTTCAAGCAATTCTTTTGCCTCAGCCTCCCAAATTGCAGGGATTATAGGTGCCTGCCACCACACCCAGCTAATTTTTGTAATTTTAGTAGAGACAGGTTTTCACCGTGTTGGTCAGGCTGGTCTCAAACTCCTGACCTCAGGTGATCCTCCCACCTCGGCCTTCCAAAGTGCTGGGATTACAGGCATGAGCCACCGTGCCCAGCCAATATATTTATATATATTTTTAAGTGACCATTTCTAAGATTAGCAATCTGTTGAAAACCTTAGAATGTTCATGTACCTTAGCTTAAGCAACTCCCTTTCTGGGAATTTTCCTTAAGGAGGTGACTAGGTATGTGCATGTATCAGGATCTTTTGTGTTTATTTCAGCATGCTTATAATTAAGGGGGGAAAAAAACCCCAAATGATTGACTCAGTTTTGGGGTGTGTGTGTAAAGTAGAATAGGCCATGCACAGTGGCTCACACCTATAAATCCCAGCACTTTGGGAGACTGAGCCAGGTTGATCACTTAAGCCCAGGAGTTTGAGACCAGCCTGGGCAATGTGCCGAAACCCCAGCTCATGAAAAGTACAAAAATAAGCTGGGCGTGGTGGCGCATGCCTGTAGTCCCAGCTACTGGGAAGGCTGAGGTGGGAGGATCAGTTGAGCCCAGGAGGTCAAGGCTGCAGTGAGCCATGATTATGCCATTGCATTCCAACTTGGGTGATAGAGCAAGACCTTGTCTCAATCAATCAGTCAGTCAGTAGTCGAATATTACCTAGGCATTGCAAATGATGATATAGCTCTGTATTGATGAAAGATGTTCATAGAAAAGCAACATCATAAAGGTTTTATTGAAAATTCTCTATAAAGAGTAAACTCCAGAATGTAAAGTGTATTGGGGTGGTGATGTTATGGGTCATTTTTGTTTTATATTTAGTAATTTATTTTCTAATTTTTCTTCTAAGATCATTGATTATTTGTATGGTTTTTAAAACCTCACCTATATAACCATTTTATTTAATGTTGAATTTTGAATTCAGTTCTCATTTTGTCATTATTTAGAAGATAAATCTTGTCGTTAAGGGAACAACTTCAAAATTTAGATTTGTTGTGTTTTTAGCTGTTGAAAGATTGCTGCCATATTTAAAATATGATTTCCTTATTTATAGTGGGAAAGTAAAACTATCCTGCGCAATGAGCCTTTGGTTTTAGAGGGAGGCTATGAAAACTGGCTCCTTTGTTATCCCCAGTATACAACAAATGCTAAGGTCACTCCACCCCCACGACGCCAGAATGAAGAGGTGTCTATCTCATGTATGTATGTGAAAATTTTTGTTTAAAATTGCTTTGGTAAAATATACTTTAAAATTGTTTTCACAGTAACATTCTTGGTTGTGTGTGCATTTGTCCTATTAGAGAGCAGTTTGTTTTCAGGCATAAAAATATAAGCCTGGAAGTTCACATTTTCTTTAAGACTGTTGTAAGTGTTTTTTCACTTAGTTTACTTTTAATTATTACATTAACATGCATGAGAAATGTAAGTACTGTGTATGGGATTTGCTATTCTAAAAAACATTTTTATTTTTGGAATTTTAGTGGATTTTACTTATCCCTCATTGGAAGAATCAGTTCCTTCTAAACCTGCTGCCCAGATACCACCTCCATCTATAGAAGTAGATGAAAATATAGAATTGATAAGTGATCAAAATGAGAGAATGGGACCACTGAATATATCAACTCCAGCTGAACCAGTTGCTGCTTCTAAATCTGATGTTTCACCCATAATTCAGCCAGTGCCTAGTATAAAGAATATTCCACAGGTATGTTCTTGATTTTAACTTTATTCTCGCTTTTGTTTTAATATTAAATATATAGTGTAGTTGGGCACAGTGCCTCACGCCTGTAATCCCAGCACTTCGGGAGGCTAAGAGGGGCGGATCACCTGAGGTCAGGAGTTTGAGACCAACCTGGCCGACATGGTGAAACCCCCTCTCTGCTGATAATACAAAAATTAGCTGGGCATGGTGGTGGGTGCCTGTAATCCCAGCCATTTGGGAGGCTGAGGCATGAGAATTGTTTAAACCCAGGAAGCGGAGGTTGCAGTGAGTCAAGATTGCACCACTGCACCCCAGCCTGGGTGACAGCAAGACTCTGTCTCAAAAAAAAATAAATAAATACAGTATAGAAATGAAGTTTAATATATAACCTTTAACATCTTAGAAAAAAAGTATCAATGAGAAGAATCTGTATGTTTTGATACATTTTTTGTTTAAAAATTTTTCATCATAATTCAGTATTATTGCCATGCCTGTATTAGAGTAGATAATTCAAGGGATTTCCAAGCCAGTTGGCAATCCATTTGCTACAAACAATGCCAGTAAAAGATTGCATTACCACAGTGAATTAGAATAGCCCTTTTGGGACTTTTTGTATTATAATTTGACCCATAGTGTTTTCATAAATAGCTTGGCTTACATATGGTAGGTATGTGATGTCAGTATTTTGGTTTTAAAACAAGTTCCATTTCCTTAGAATTTGACATGCAAATAACAGGCATGTTTAACAATAATCATTTAAAAGTTTTTAAATAACCAAGACGTTACAAATAAAAAAATTTTAGTCTTTATTTCCTTCATTTGGCTTTATTTAAAGAAAGGTTAACTAATGTTCCCCCTCCATGCATTTCCCAATAACATTTTTAGCATTCATGTTTGATTTTTTCCCCAGATATATTTAAAACAGTATTTCACATTTAAAGTGGATGACATTTGATTTGTGGAGCAGGTATTGAATAGAAAATCTGGTAATTTTTTGTTATAAACTGAAGTGGTTCATTTCTTCATTTTTTTAAGGCATTTTAGTATTGCAGAATAAATTGCAGACTAAATAGATGTGATTAAACAACTTTTCTTAAAGGGTAAATTTAGGGAAGTCTGAAAAGAACTTATGTTATTACATTTCCTTTCAACTTAATCTGTTTAAACCCTAATCCTTTTGTGTCCCAACATAACTTTATAAGATATGCACAATTTTTTAGACACATTTTGAAGATCTGTATAAAAAACAGCATGGGTGCCATGGGTCACGTCTGTAATCCCAACACTTCGGGAGGCAGAGGCGAGTGGGTCACCTGAGGTCAGGAGTTCCAGACCAGCCTGGTCACCATGGTGAAACCCCATCTCTTCTAAAAGTACAAAAATTAGCCAGGCGTGGTGGTGCGTGCCTGCAGTCCCAGCTACTCAGGAGGCTGAGGCAGGACAATCACATGAACCCAGGAAGCAGAGGTTGTAGTGAGCCGATATCGGGCCACTGCACTCTAGCCTGGGTGAGAGTGAGACTCTGTCTCAAAAAAAAAAGTAAGACAGCATGAAAGTTTGTAAATACAAGAGATGGATTCTTCTGATGTTTAGAAGGAGAGATCTGTATAAAATCAGCCACAACATAAGGCAAAATATCATAATTGCTCTACAAGTCACTGGAGCACAGAACAAGGAGAATATTCTAGCTGAGAAGATCAAGGACGTCTTCATGGAGGAGACAGTATTTTATCTGGGCTTTAAGAGTAGGATTTGAGGATGGACAAAACACGTAGACAATTGTATGACCAAAGGGATAGGGCATGCTGTGGGGCCATTGAACAGTTTTGGCATATGTGGGCGCTAGTCTTTGTTGGAGAGAGGAAATTATGATAGTAGATAAGATTAGAAGGATGGACAAGAGTCATCAAGAGAGACTTGGATCAAATTTGAATTTTGTCCTGTAGGCACAAAGAACCACTAAAGAATTTTAAACTTGAGAGTAACATGATCATAACTATACTTGTAAGATTAGGGAAAAATAGATCAAGCCACCAAAATGTAAATGGAAACAACATTTACTTTTGTTTCTGTTCCACCTCTTATTGTTAGCCTCATCTCCATAGTGGTTCTTTCTACTTTATTCTCAAATACATGCAGAAAAAGAGACAAAGGATTTTTTTTTTTAAGAGGCAGAAAGAGAAGTGAACAGGAAAAAATTATTTTTTGTATGCTAACTTATTTTTCTTTTTTTTTTAAAACAGTGTCTCATTCTCTCACCCAGGCTGGAGTGCAGTAGCACGATCACAGCTCACTGCAGCTCGACTTCCTGGGTTCAAGCAGTCCTCCCACCTCAGCCTCCTGAGTAGCTGGGATTATAGGCACATGCCACCACGCCCGGCTAATTTTTGTATTTGTTGTAAAGACAGCGTTTTGCCATGTTGGCCAGGATGGTCTCGAACTCCTGACCTCAAGTGATCTACCCAGCTCGGGCTCTCAAAGTGCTGGTATTACAGGCGTGAGTCACTGTGCCCGGCAACTTCTTTGTTTTCTAGTAGAAAAACATAAATTCGTTTTGTAAGAACACTATGTAGATTGTTATTGGCAGATGTTCTTAAAAGTTTTTATTTTTGTTTCATTATACAGTATTCTCAAGAAATGATGGTAGGGTCACTTCTCTAGTGTTAATATTCTGTTAAATTGAGGTAATAAACATTTAACTCATTAAATCAGGAACTTAGGTAATTTATTACGCAACTTGAAGGAAACCAGTTAGTATTTTACCTCCTGTAAAAGTTGTTAGGGAAGATTGCATTTGTTCCCTCAGTAACATAGTTATTAACTGTGTCAGGCACAGTCTCTATCCTTTTAGAGCTTATATTCTAGGAGGGAAGAAGAGCTTATATTCTAGGAGGGAAGAAAATTTTAGACAAGTAATTATAGTTATTTGATCAGAATTCCAATAGAGGGAGAAGAATAAGGTATTATAAGAGCATGTATCAGGGGACTTGGCTAGTTCTAGGGACAAGGGAAGTCTTTTCAGAGGGAGAGTGTAAGCCAAGACCTAATGTGGGCATTATCTAGATGAACAGCTGATAGACCTAAATTGGGAAGGAGCATGGCATCTTTGAACAATTTTTTTTTTAAGGCAAGTATAGCCAGTATACACAACCATATGACTGGAGAGGTAGGCAGATGTAAGATTACACAGGGCCTTACAGGCTATGGTAAAGATTTTAGGTGTACTGAGGGCATAGTGGGTAGCAAATCAAATTTGTTTTAAAGTGAGTACTCTGGCTATAATGTGGAGAAACAGATTGGGGAGCAGGGACAAGAGAAGAGATGGGCAACTAGTTGAAAACTATAGGCCGGGCGCGGTGGCTCAAGCCTGTAATCCCAGCACTTTGGGAGGCCGAAACGGGTGGATCACGAGGTCAGGAGATCGAGACCATCCTGGCTAACACGGTGAAACCCCGTCTCTACTAAAAAAAATACAAAAAACTAGCCGGGCGTGGTGGCGGGCTCCTGTAGTCCCAGCTACTCGGGAGGCTGAGGCAGGAGAATGGCGTGAACCCAGGAGGCAGAGCTTGCAGTGAGCTGAGATCTGGCCACTGCACTCCAGCCTGGGCCACAGAGCGAAACTCTGTCTCAAAAAAAACAAAACAAAACAAAAAAACTATGCTGTAGTCCTGGTGAGAGAGGAGGTTGGCATGGTCTTGGCCTGTGGTAGAAGAGATGGAGGCACAGATATAGGAGGAAGATTATCAGCGTGTAGAAGGATATGGGAAGAACATATCATGGGACTCAGGTTTTTGATTTGTGCAACTATTGGGAGAGTGGTTACATCCATGAGATTAGGACCATGTTTGTGGGGGTGGGGGAAATCGTGAATCCATTTTGGCTATATGAGGTTTGAGATATATGCAGTGACACTCAAATGGAAATATTGGGTAGGCATTTGGATACCTGGAAGTGGAACTTAAGTCTAGGTATGCCCAGGTCTAGGTTTTATGTTTTTAAATAAAGACATTTTTAACTCTTTTGTATACAAAACACTCAGGAAGAATTGAAAGTTGATCAAGAGGATGTAAGTTCCAGTGATGTTTGGATATCTCCCATTCAAGTTTGTTTTATGAGAAATCTTGACACTGTGTAATTAACAAGTAGATGTCCTGATAGATGTTGTCTCCACAAAGTGACACTTCTTTTTATCACAACTTGATCTCAAGAACTGAGGTTATTTCCTGATTTTTGACAAAAATGTTTTGCTCTGTTTTTGTTGCTCTAGATTGATCGTACTAAAAAACCAGCAGTCAAATTGCCTGAAGAGCATAGAACAAAATCTGAAAGTACAAACCATGAGCAACAATCTCCTCAGAATGGAAAAGTTATTCCTGATCGTTCCACCAAGCCAGTAGTTTTCTCTCCAACTCTCATGTTAACAGATGAAGAAAAGGCTCGTATTCATGCAGAAACGGCTCTTCTAATGGAGAAGAACAAACAAGAAAAAGAACTTCGGGAAAGGCAGCAAGAGGAACAGAAAGAGAAACTGAGGAGGGAAGAACAAGAACAAAAAGCCAAAAAGAAACAAGAAGCTGAAGAAAATGAAATTACAGAGAAGCAACAAAAAGCAAAAGAAGAAATGGAGAAGAAAGAAAGTGAACAGGCCAAGAAAGAAGATAAAGAAACCTCAGCAAAGAGGGGCAAAGAAATAACAGGAGTAAAAAGACAAAGTAAAAGTGAACATGAAACTTCTGATGCCAAGAAATCTGTAGAAGACAGGGGGAAAAGGTGTCCAACCCCAGAAGTACAGAAAAAGTCAACAGGAGATGTGCCCCATACATCTGCGACAGGGGATTCGGGTTCAGGCAAGGTAAGCAGAAACAGTACATATTGCCAACAAAGTGAAAAGGGCAGGCATTTCAAATAGTCTTTTCAGGGGTGATAGAAAGTACTGATCTATCCACATTTGCTCACCTATTCTCCTTTGAGGCCAATGCCGTACATTTATGAAATGATTGGTTGGGAATGAAATTGCTTTTTGTATATTACATCTATAAAATGCAATATATTTCTTTTTTTTTTTTTTTTTTTTTTTTTTTTTTTTTGAGACGGAGTCTCACTCTGTCACCCAGGCTGGAGTGCAGTAGGACAATCTCAGCTCACTGCAAGCTCCGCCTCCCGGGTTCACGCCATTTTCCTGCCTCAGCCTCCCGAGTAGCTGGGACTACAGGCGCATGCCAGCACGCCTGGCTAATTTTTTGTATTTTTAGTAGAGACGGGGTTTCACCATGTTAGCCAGGATGGTCTCAATCTCCTGACCTCGTGATCCACCTGCCTTGGCCTCCCAAAGTGCTGGGATTAGAGGCGTGAGCCACCATGCCCGCCGATATTTCAAATAATTGAGATAAATAGTTACATTCTTCATTTTTATGTTTGATGTATGATCATGGAAAGACTAGAGTGAAATATAATCTCCTCAGTATGGGGGAACTAGATGCCAATATTTGTATGATAAAATTTATATCTGTTTAGAATATATCCAAAATCAGTGACATCTAAATGGCCCAACATTTATCTTTGCATATAATGATTTTTTGGTCACATCAGTGTCGTTTTTTTTCTTGCTTTATCTATTCAAATAATATTGGCAAATAACCCAATTAATTTTGCCCTTGGCTACACACCCAAAATTGATAGCCGTAATTTTAGGGGACATTTTTTGTTTTTCTTTTTCAGTCTCTAATAATGCCATACTTTTCTTTTTTTCTTCATTATGTCATTAACAATGCCTTTTCCTTTTGAACACCAAGTATGTATTTATAATACCAAGAACAGTTATAGTCCTTTTTACATATATGTAAATGGAAAAAACATTTTTAGCAGTGCGAAAATGACTTCTAATGGAAGGCAGGATACCATCTTTACAGCATGTTAACTTCTATACTTCTCAAACACCATTCAGGCATGTTACCAAAATTAATTCATAGTCAAGCCGCTCTTATCCAGGGAACACTTATCTGGTAACCTCTGCTATTAAAAAAGATAGCTTCCATGCAAAAACCTTCTAAACACCCCAAATTAGGGATATGAACCATGTACTAAAACGCTTTAACTTTATTCACAGGAGGAGCAAAACATGTGAGCTCCAAGATACAATTTAAGTATTATTCATTGGGTAGCTACTATATGCCAAGTATTTTCACTGCATTATCTTATTTACTCCTAATGATAATCCCATAAGGTATTTAATTTACAAGTGAAACTGAAGTTTAGAGGTTAAATATTTGCTTAAGATCATCACATAGACAGTGAGATTCCAAAGCCACTTCCTTTCCATCTTGCTATGCTAGAGGCATGCAGTCTTTAGAACTTAAATCATTCGTATTTGTGGAGTCATTTAGTATATAGGTGCCAAATATTCCTACACATCTAAGATTGCATTCCTTGTGTGCTCCTTTTAAAAGTAGGAGAAATATGTAATTTATTCTAGAATAAATTTTGTTAAAATTATCACTAATTTTAAAGTTTTTAGTAGAGTTATTTTAAAATAAGATATAAAACTGAGTTTTTAAAAAGAATGTACGGGCTGGGCGTGTTGGCCCACGCCTATAATCCCAGCACTTTGGGAGGCCTAGACCAGTGGATCACAAGGTCAGGAGATCAAGATGATCCTGGCTAACACAGTAAAACCCTGTCTCTACTAAAAATACAAAAAATTAGCCAGGTGTGGTGGCGTGCGCTGTAGTCCCAGCTACTCGGGAGGCTGAGGCAGGAGAATCGCTTGAACCCATGAGGCAGAGGTTGCAGTGAGCCGAGATCGTGCCAATGCACTCCAACCTGGGTGACAGAGCGAGACTCGGCCTCAAAAAAAAAAAAGAATGTATGGTGTTATAAGAAGATATGAATACAGATTTTTGCATTTTTGACTATTGGTCTGTATCTTAATTTCTCCATTCTCTTGAATACTTTAAATTTTTTGAAGCACAACTCCTTTCAAGGTAACCAAAATCATAATAATATTTAAGTAAAAGATAATGTTCAGCTGGGCGCGGTGGCTCACGCCTGTAATCCCAGCACTTTGGGAGGCCGAGGCAGGTGGATCACGAGGTCAGGAGATCAAGACCATCCTGGCTAACACGGTGAAACCCCGTCTCTACTAAAAATACAAAAAATTAGCCAGTTCTGGTGGCAGGCGCCTGTAGTCCCAGCTAGTCGGAAGGCTGAGGCAGGAGACTGGCGTGAACCCGGGAGGCGGAGCTTGCAGTGAGCCAAGATCGCGCCACTGCACTCCAGCCTGGGCGACAGAGCGAGACTCCATCTCAAAAAAAAAAAAGATAATGTTCAAATTAGGTCATGGGGAATATACATTAATGATCAGCATTTTATACTTGGCCATGTAGTGTGAACCAGTGCTTCACAATCCACTTTGATTTTCATCTTTTTTTTCACTGATTCATCAGAGTTCTTTAGTTTTTTAAGTATTTTGACTGTGACAGTAAAATATAATAAAATTTTCAGAGGCCTTTTTTTCTCCTTTTACATTTTCAGTCTCATAGATTCGTTTGTGTTAACTAGTAGCTTTATGTTGGAAGGAGAGTTAAAGTTTTCTTTCACTTCTTTAATTTTAATAATTTTACAGCCATTTAAGATTAAAGGACAACCAGAAAGTGGAATTCTAAGGACAGGAACTTTTAGAGAGGATACAGACGATACCGAAAGAAATAAAGTAAGTAGTTCATTGCAGGAAAAAACTGGAAAAAAACCAAACGTGGATTATAACTATGTGATTATCGTACCACACTGTCATCTTTTATTATGAGATCTACAGTGTAAGGGGATCGTTGCCATCTTTGGTAGCTGGTGTTTTGGTTGTTTTTACACGATCACTCCATTTATATGCTAAAGGAAATAGAGTTTGTCTTCCTGTTTAAAGTTTGACAGCATATTCTATTTATTTTATGAAAGTAAAAAATGTTTAGCCCTTACCATATGATCCAGCAATTCTACTTCAGGGTATATACCCAAAAGAATTGCAAACAAGAAGTATTTGTACACCCATGTTCTTAGAGTATTATTCATAATAGCCGAAAAATGGAAGCAACCCAGATGTCCATCAGCAGGTGAATGCATAAACAAATGGGATATGTACATATAACGGAATATTATTCAGCCTTAAAAAGGAAGGAAATTCTGACACGTTACAGCATGGATGAATCTTGAGGTCATTTGCTAAGTGAAATAAGCCCAGTTGCAGGATAAATACTGAGTGATTCCATTTCTGTGAGGTTTGTAAGGTAGGCAAATTTATAGAGACAGAAAGTAGAATGGTGGTTGTCAGAGCCGGAGAAAGAGGAAATGGGGAGTTATTGTTCAGTAGGTACAGAGTTTCAGTTTAACAAGATGAAAAGAGTTCTGGAGATTGTTGGCACAGCAATGTACTTAATGTCACTAACCAGTGCACCTTAAAATGGTTAAGATGGTAAATGTTATGTTATGTGTATTTCATCACAATTTTTAAAACACATAGGCTTTGTATAAGACATCTTTGCTGGGCACGGTGGCTCACACTTGTAATCTTAGCACTATGGGAGGCTGAGGTGGGCAGATCACAAGGTCAGGAGATTGAGACCATCTTGGCTAACAGGGTGAAACCCCATCTCTACTAAAAATACAAAAAAAAAAGTAACCAGGCTTGGTGGCGGGTGCCTGTAGTCCCAGCTACTTGGGAGGCTGAGGCAGGAGAATGGATGAACCAGGGAGGTGGAGCTTGCAGTGAGCCAAGATCGTGCCACTGCACTCCAGCCTGGGCGACAGAGCGAGACTCCATCTAAAAAAAAAAAAAAAAAAGAAGACATCTTTGACTTTGTTTTTCCTTCAGATCTTGAGATACAATTTGCATCCCATAAAATTCACCCATTTTTAACATGCAGTTCAGTGATATTTTTTTTTTTTTTTTTTAGTAATTTAGTGTTGTGAAACCATTAATACAATCCAATTTTAGAACATTGCCATCACACCAAAGAGACCCTATGCCCAATTTAGTCTACCCTAAAGCCCAGGCAACCCTGAGTCTACTCTGTCTCCATAGATCTATCTTCTCTGGGATATATATAGTCTTCCCTTGGTATCTGTAGATGACTGGTTCCATGACCTCCCTCTCATACCAAAATCTGAGGATGCTCAAGTCCCCTACATGAAGTGGTATAGTGTTGGCATATAATCTATACACATCCTCCTATATACTTTAAATCATCTCTAGATTACATACCTAACACAGTGTAAATGCTATGAAAATAGATGTTATACTGTATTTTTTAGGGAATAATAAAAGCCTGCACATGTTCAGTACACCCAGAATTATTTTTTTCAAGTATTTTCAATCTATGGATGGTTGAATTCACAGATGCAGAACCGATGAATACAGAGGACCGACTCCATATCCGATCTAAATCCGTGTGAATTTAACATGTTAAATTTTTGTTAAGTCATTCTGCTGTATTTTGCCATTAAAAAAATCTGAGACCAGCCTTGGCAACATAGCAAGACCCCTTTTCTCCACAGAAAGGAGAAAAAAAGGAGGGGGGTGAGGGTATGGTTGCTCATGCCTGTAATTCCAGCACTTTGAGGAGCTGAGGCAGGTGGATCGCTTGAGCCCCAGGAGTTCAAGACCAGCCTGGGCAACATGGCAAAACCCTGTCTCTAGAAAAAAATATAAAAAAGTAGCCAGGTTTGGTGGCACCTGCCTGTAGTCCCAGCTAGTTGAGAGGCTGAGGTGGGAGGATCACCTGATCCTGGGGAGGTCAAGGATACAGTGAGCCGTGATCATGCTACTGCATTCCAACCAGGTCAACAAGAGTGAGAGCCTATCTCAAACAAAAGGGGGAAAAATGACATAAAATATATTAAGACTAGAATGACTGACTGAATTCACAATTTTCTTATTTTTGACTGCAATAGTTAAAGGGCCACAGCAGCAACAAACATATTGATATACAAAAAAATGTTCATGAACTACAGAAGTCAAATAATTTATAGAATTTATTTGTTTAGATCTAAGATTAACTAAATATAACACATAACCCATTAAAAACATGTTATGTAAGAATGATACAATGGACTTTGGGGACTTGGGGGCAAGGGATAAAAGACTACAAATAGGGTACATTGTATACTGCTCAGGTGATGGGTACACTGAAATCTCACAGATCACCACTAAAGAGCTTACTAATGGCTGGGCACGGTGGCTCATGCCTGTAATCGCAACACTTTGGGAGGCCGAGGCGGGAGGATCATTTGAGGTCAGGAGTTTGAGACCAGCCTGGCCAATATGATGCAACCCTGTCTCAACAAAAAGTAGCTGAGCGTGGTGGTGGGCACCTGTAGTCCCAGCTACTTGGGAGGCTAAGGCAGGAGAACTGCTTGAACCCAGGAGGCGGAGGTTGCAGTGAGCCAAGATCAGGCCACTGCACTCCAGCCTGGGTGACAGAGTGAGACTCCTTGTGGAAAAAAAATAAAAAAGAACTTACTAATGTAACCAAATATCACCTGTACCCCAATAACCTATGAAAACATAAAAAATAAAATAAAAAAACACATTTTATTAAAATTCTTCTAAGAACCAAAAATAAAATTTCTTAAGATGTGTAAGCCTGACAAAAATTAAGAACTTAAGCCATAGTCAAACAGCAGTGTTCCAAAAGTGAAACCCAAAGGAGCTGAAAATGAGTTAACAATAAGAGAAAATGAAGACATATATACACACACACACACACACACACACACACACATATGCCTTCTTCTGACATCCTTCTGTTCCTTTTAAAGAGAAAGTAGGGATTAGATGACCGGAAGCACAAAGTGAAGACTTAAAAAATAGAAAGTGAAAATTGAGGTTTGCAGTTACTCCCACTGGTCCTGACATTTTAAGCAGGGCTTCACACCAGCTACAGCCCAGATCTTTGGCAACATTGAAAGGAAAGCAAAAGTTGTCTTTGTTGGCCACCCACCATCTTGCCCCATCTCTGCCCTTCAGGAAGCAAGGGTACTCAGTATATCTTCTGGCTGTCTTAAATCTCATACTGTATAATCCACTCTACACTCATTCTGTATAAAATGCCACAGACAACTAAGTATTGATTAAATACATTTTAAAGTAATTCTCAGGTGTTAAGAAGGCTCAACCTTCTCAAGATTTACTCACTGCTAAAACTTACTGTATTTGCTGAGCAACCGCTATGTCTCTAGGACTGTGCTAAATGCTTGATGGCAGTGTTTTTGAAATCCATAAGGTCATAATCAGTATAAGCCTAGGTGTGGTGGCACACACCTGCAGACCCAGCTACTTGCGAGAGTGAGGTAAGAGAATCATTTATGCCAAGGGTTCCAGAACAGCCTCGGCAATGTAGTGAAACCCCATCTCTAAAAATTTTTTAAATAAATGATATTTGCAAACATTTTCTCCCAATATGTGGCTTATCTTTTCATTTTCTTGATGGAGTTTCTTGAAGCACAAAAGTTTTTGTGGAAGTCCATTCTGTCGTATTTTTCTCATGTGAATCGTACTCTTGGTATTGTATCAAAGGAACATTTTGTCTGACCCAAAGTCATAAAGTAATGAAGATTTTCTCCTGTTTTCTTCTTAAGGTTTTAGTTTTAGTCCTTAGATCTATGATTCCTTTCAAGTTAATTTTTATATACAGTGTGGTAAGGATCTAAATCCATCTTTTTGTATGTGGATATTTAGTTGTGCTGTTTGCCTTCGTTTTGACAGAATTTTTTTCCAGCACACAGATTCTATTTATTACATGTTTGTATTCAACAGAATTTGTCACAGGCAGGAGTACAGTAGCATGACCATAGCTCACCTAATCACCTGGGCTCAAGCTTTGACCGCTTGGGCTCAAGCGATCCTCCCACCTTGGCTTCCTGAGTAGCTAGGACCACAGGTGCATGCCACTAAGCCTGGCTTTTTTTTTTTTTTTTGGTGACGGAGTCTTGCTCTGCCACCCAGGCGGGAGTGTAGTGGCACACTCGGCTCATTGCAACCTCCACCTCCCACGTTCAAGCAATTCTCCTGCCTCAGTCTCCTGAGTATCCGAAATTACAGGTACATACCACCATGCCTGGCTAATTTTTGTGGTGTTTTTTTTAGTAGAGATGGGGTTTCTACTCTCTTGTTGGCCAAGCTGGTCTCGAACTTCTGACCTCAGGTGATCCACCCGCCTCGGCCTCCCAAAGCGCTGGGATTACAGGCGTGAGCCACTGTGCCCGGCCAAACCTGGGTAATTTTTAAAAATTTTTTTGTAGAGATGGGTTCTCTCTGTGTTGCCCAGGCTGATCTCAAAACTCCTGGGCTCAAGAGATCCTCCTGCCTTGGCCTCCCAAAGTGCTGGATTCCAGGTATGAGCCACCCTGTCTGGCCTAGAATGTATATATTTTAAGACATGAAGAATATAAAAATAGAAATGGGTGGTTCATCAGGTGTTTTTGTTTTCTATTAATAATTTTTTAAAGGAAGTGGAAATATCATATTCAATTATATTGAGGTTGATGCCTCAATATATTGGTTTGTTTTTACTTATATAACATTTCATCAGTATTTTGTGGAATGAATGAATATAGAAGAAGAAATGTTAGCAGAGCAAGATGACTTTAGGTAGATTTAGAATAAGCCATGATAATGAAATTTTGTAGCCTTTCTTGTGAATATTCATTTGCTAGGATGCTATATCATCTATTCTCTACTTATACCTCTTAGCATACAGAGAAAGGGCACACTCAGTCCTGAAGAATACATTAGGTTTATATTTTATGTAATCGTTTACTGTGGAAAACTAAAAAAAAAAAAATTTGACTAAACTACCTTGAAATGCAAAATTAAAAAAAAAAAAATGTGACCTTTCTTATTTGCTTGGATCTACTGTCTTCCTCCCCGTGAACTACCACAGAAGGCCATCTACCTCCACCTCGCCACCTGCAATCGTTACAGGCTTAGACATACTCCTCTACACCTTGGTATAGTCATGTTTGGACTTTGAGAAAAAGATAAATTTTTTTCATCTCTGAATCTGTCTTTTAAAATATGAAGGGTAGCCAAGGCAAGGTTTTTTGATTCTTTGGTACAAGTGGCTTAAGTTTTTATGTGACAAAATTTAATTGAAAAAAACGAATTTTTTTTTTTTTTTTTTTTTTTTTTTTTTAATTAGGCTCAACGAGAACCTTTGACAAGAGCACGAAGTGAAGAAATGGGAAGGATCGTACCAGGACTGCCTTCAGGCTGGGCCAAGGTAAAAGTCAGAATTAGCAATGAAGTAGCCACTGTGTTCCTAAAAAATGTTTTTAAAATTTGTTTGTTTTACATCTTCTGTAATGCAGAGTCAATTCCATTTCTCCATTATGAGATTTTTCAATACCCAACCTGAGATGCTGGCTACAATATATGAGCATTCTGGCATTTATCATTTAGAAATGGTGTATTACTTTAAAACCTTAATTTATTTTGAAGTTTATCACCATTTTATTCAAATTATTTTAATCCAGAAGTAAATTTAGCAGAATACTTTGGAGTAATTTGTTTATATAATGCTTATTTTTGTTTTTTGACCTGTTTCTGTTTTTTCTTTTCCATCTAAGTTTCTTGACCCAATCACTGGAACCTTTCGTTATTATCATTCACCCACCAACACTGTTCATATGTACCCACCGGAAATGGCTCCTTCATCTGCACCTCCTTCCACCCCTCCAACTCATAAAGCCAAGCCACAGATTCCTGCTGAGCGGGATAGGGAACCTTCCAAACTGAAGCGCTCCTACTCCTCCCCAGATATAACCCAGGCTATTCAGGAGGAAGAGAAGAGGAAGCCAACAGTAACTCCAACGGTTAATCGGGAAAACAAGTACGTTTATCTTAACTCCTAGAACTAAAATAATGTGCTGTATTTCAAAATTTCTACTCTGAATCTATCAGCATGTTAGTGTCAGGGAGTTGGAAATTTCTGTGGATGGCTATACCAGCCATTATTATTTACCACAGAATAAAACAAATGAATAGAGAAAATGTTGTTGGTTTTTCTCCCAAGTGCTCACTTAATATCATACCAGAGAGGATTATTTTAAGTGTTAATGTAGATATAAAATCACTGTTATGTTTTACAGCCTCATGCCCGAGTACCTTCACATTTTTCATAGACCTCCTGTGGTCCCTAAATCTCCCTTTGAGGACCATAATTTTCAGGATTATTGAGCTTGCCTTGTTGCAGCACTCAAGTTCCAAACTTTTTTTCCCTTAGCCAATAATGTGAGTGAAGTTTTCCTACAGTATTAAAATAACAAGCACTTTAGTATATCAGCCTCTAATCCTTATTCTGTTCCTTTTTCCTTCATTGTATTTTTGCTATTCTGTTTACAAATAGTGACCAGTAGGTTAAGTTTCCCAAAATAGTGTTTTATTTAGCTCTACTTCTGGCTTCGTCCCTTTTGGAATCCTCTTAGCTTATGACTGATAGGGCTATGAGGAGATGATTTTGAAGTGTGTGTACCACTTCTAATCTTTACTTTCTTGGGAGGAGGGGGGAAATAGGTGGAAGTATAAATAAATGGGTTTTTCCCCCCATTTATTATACATTTGTATTTGCTAAGGAATTTTAATTAGGCTGTCTTTTAAGCCTCCTTAGTAACACATCCTAACACATCCTAAGAAAGTTGAAATTTTTTCCTCCTGAGAACTTACCCTGCTAGGTATTCGAAGGAGCTTTTAAAAATTCTGTTAATCTTGTTACAGATTTTAGGGTTCATTATAATAACTAGTGAGATTTAATTTCTTCTTGAATCATCATTCTTAGTAAAGTGTGTTAATTTGATAGTGTTTTAAGGACTATCATTTGCTGTTCATGTATTTATGTATATTGAACAGAAAAAGCACACATGAGTACATGCACCTGAGTGCATGTAAAGAAGAGCTGATTGAAATATAGTTTAATCTGTCCTTAGTATACTTTTAGGGGTGGAAGAACATTAAGGATTGTTGAAAAAAGAAAAAAGACCTATCAGTTAAGATTTTCCTTATGCTTCAGCAGTTCTAGTAGTTCCACATATAAATAAAAAACCCCATATTACAGAAGTCTAGAAGGCATTCTCTGCCCCAGCACCGTCCAGCAGATCTTTCCGTGGTGATAGAAATGTTCTGTGTCTGTACTGTCCACTATGGTTTGTGGCTACTTTGAAACGTGATTAGTGCAACTAAGGAATTTTTTTTTCTTTTTTTTTTTTTGAGACGGAATCTCACCCTGTCACCCAGGCTCAAGTACAGTGGCTTGATCTCAGTTCACTGCAACCTCTGCCTCCTCAAGCGATTCTCCTGCCTCAGCCTTCTGAGTAGCTGGGACTACAGGCATCCACCACCATGCCTAGCTACTTTTTGTATTTTTAGTAGAGATAGGGTTTCACCATGTTGGCCAGGCTGGTCTCAAACTCCTGACCTCAGGTGATCTGCCCTCCTCGGCCTCCCAAAAGTGGTGGGATTATAGACGTGAGCCGTCACGCCCAGCTGAAACTGTATTTTTTGACTAGCCGTCCGTGGATAGTCAACACTCTAAAATTTAAGTAATAGTACCCAAATAACCTCTGCTTCCCTTGATATCTACTCCACGGTATTTTTTTATTTATTTATTTTTTGAGACAGAGTTTCACTCTTGTTGCCCATGCTGGAGTGCGATGGCACTATCTCTAGCTCACCGCAAGCTCTGCCTCCCAGGTTCAAGCCATTCTCCTGCCTCAGGCTCCCGAGTAGCTGGGATTACTGGCATGTGCCACAACACCCAGCTAATTGTGTATTTTTAGCAGAGATGGGGTTTCTCCATGTTGGTCAGGGTGGTCTCGAACTCCCAACCTCAGGTGATCCGCTCACCTCGGCCTCCCAAAGTGCTGGGATTACAAGCGTGAGCCACCGCACCTGGCCACCTTTTTTGTTGTTGTTGTTGTTGTTTTTTAATTTTTCCTTGTTTGGCATTCTGGGTGAGTTCAAACATTTGATAATGCCAAACTTCCAAGGATCATTTAAAGGAGTTGAAAAGAGCCTTCTCTACTAGAGCTCCTAGTTCATGAGAAGCGAGATAATCTATCTCATGGTGTCTCTAAGAACCATGATCCACATTCAGAGGTTAAAGGTATGTGTTTCATGGAGAGACCTTAGTCATATGACTAATGTTAACCTAAATATCAAATGTCTTGGAAGGCCCAGCATCTTATGAGTTAACTATCAACTGTTTACAAAATGCCTGTGGTACAGGTGCTACAGTTGGCCGCCATTTATAGTATAGAACCCTAATTTCATATACTCAGCATTTTAAGACATCTTGTATCCTTTTTTTCTTCCTCAGGCCAACATGTTATCCTAAAGCTGAGATCTCAAGGCTTTCTGCTTCTCAGATTCGGAACCTCAATCCTGTTTTTGGAGGTTCTGGACCAGCTCTTACTGGACTTCGTAACTTAGGAAATACTTGTTATATGAACTCAATATTGCAGTGCCTATGTAATGCTCCACATTTGGCTGATTATTTCAACCGAAACTGTTATCAGGATGATATTAACAGGTAAATAAATGTCATATTTTTTGCATTGTAATCCTAAATAATGATGCTTTATAATGCTAAAAGGATGATCTAACTATATTTACTGTCTTAGTCCATTAGTTTTCTGCTGCTATAACAAAATACCTGAGACTAGGTAATTTGTAAAGTATGGAAATTTATTTTCTCTTAGTTCTTGACTGGGAAGGCCATCATCTAGGTGCCGGTATCTGGTGAGCTTTTTTGCTGCATCCTCACATGGTAGAAGGTGGAAGGGCAAGAGGACAACCTCCTCCTGTCAAGCCCCTTAATAACGGCACCTAATCCTATTCTCCAGGGAGGGGAGCCCTCATGGCCTTAGCACCTCTGTAAAGGCCCCATCTCTTCATCCTGTTACTTTGGCAACACCTGAATTTTGGAATCTTTGAAGTGAATCTGGTGGTAAACCTGTGAATAAGCAAGCATTTTGGTGTAGGGCTACAGTATGTGAATAATTTCATGTTGACATCAAGAATCCACTGTACCTTGCTGAACTTTTAAACTTCCTATTGTCTTTTGTAACTTTTATTTGCACAGGTCAAATTTGTTGGGGCATAAAGGTGAAGTGGCAGAAGAATTTGGTATAATCATGAAAGCCCTGTGGACAGGACAGTATAGATATATCAGTCCAAAAGACTTTAAAATCACCATTGGGAAGATCAATGACCAGTTTGCAGGATACAGTCAGCAAGATTCACAAGAATTGCTTCTGTTCCTAATGGATGGTCTCCATGAAGATCTAAATAAAGTAAGAAATTTGATTTTTCTAAGTTGCAGAGACTCTTTAGGGTTGCTCAGTAGCACTGTATTTTTATTATTTTCATAGCAATTTAAAATTCTAGTTGGTGATAGCCCAGCACTTGTTCATTCAAACAGTGGCTGTGGGAGAGAATTATGAAACACTGGTAAGTGCAGTGTTTGAAGCATGTACAGCTGGCATTTACTAGTTAGCAAGCAGTATTGCTGAGAAATTTGCAAATGTTACAATAGTTATTGGAGTTTGTGACCCACATGTATGTGAAAGTAAAATCATAAATGATCTTATAAAAGATGATAGTTTCAGCATTTTTACTGTATATTTATATAATTTCACATATATAATATGTATATGTTATTGTACATATCCTTACTCTTTTCTTTTTCCTAGTCCCTTGCTGAAAGTGGCACATGCCTTTATTCTTATACATCCTTCTAAAATAAGAATTACTCGACTGGGCACAGTGGCTTATGCCTGTAATCCCAGCACTTTGGGAGGCCAAGGCTGGTGGATCACCTGAGGTCAGGAGTTTGAGACCAGCCTGGCCAACGTGGCAAAACCTCATCTCTACTAAAAATACAAAAATTGGCTGGGCATGGTGGCATGCGCCTGTGTTCTACTCAGGAGGCTGAAGCAGGAGAATCGCTTGAACCTGGGAGGCGGAAGTTGCAGTGAGCTGAGATTGCAGTGACCACTGCACTCCAGCCTGGGTGACAGAGTGAGACTCTTTCTCAAAAAAAAGAATCCATGTAACCAAATGACTCATGTTACTAGTTATAAAGGCATGTATGTATACATCAGTGACCACCCTCCATTTCTGTAGTACAACTTCTTTTTAGCACTTTTTATCTCACATACTTTTGGGGTCACCATTCTTAACCACTGAACAGATATATACACCTACACAAAAATATCTGTGTGTGTGTGTGTGTGTGTGTGTGTATATGTAAAATGAGGCTAGGGCAACAAAATTATATCCGTCCAGTTGTAGCCCTAGTTCCCAGCTATATATGAGATATCTTTTCTCAAAACCAAACTTTTTTTCTTTTTTTTTTTTTTTTAAGTAGAAATGGGGGTCTCACTGTGTTGCACAAGCTGGTCTCAAACTCCTGACCCCAAGCAGTCCTCCTGCCTTGGCCTCCCAGAATGCTGGGATTATAGGCGTGAACCACCACATCTGGCCCTTTTCAGCTTCTTAAATAAAAATTTGGGAAATTTCAACAAGTCACATTCTTCTGATAAAGTGGGTTTTTTCGGTATTCTTGGCTAGAATTATTTTTTGCCACACTCAATAAGATCAGAACTCCTTTATGAGAACTACAGGTGTTTCTAAATCTGCAAAGTGTTTGTATTTACTTTTGTTCTTTCAATTTCTATTTAAATGTTGTCTTTGAGATACTAATATAGAGCTTAAATAATCTTATTTCCAGGCTGATAATCGGAAGAGATATAAAGAAGAAAATAATGAACATCTTGATGACTTTAAAGCTGCAGAACATGCCTGGCAGAAACACAAGCAGCTCAATGAGTCTATTATTGTTGCACTTTTTCAGGGTCAATTCAAATCTACAGTACAGTGCCTCACCTGTCACAAAAAGTCTAGGACATTTGAGGCCTTCATGTATTTGTCTCTGCCCCTAGCATCCACAAGTAAATGTACATTACAGGTAAGTTTAAGATAGAGAGAAAATGATGTATTGGATAAAAATGCTGTTTTTATGGATATAGACATGTATATTATTCAATTTATTTCTGGTCTTTACCCTTATAAACATTTTATCAGTAAAACTCGGCCAGGCGCAGTTGCTCACGCCTGTAATCCCAGCACTTTGGGAGGCCAAGGCGGGCAGATCACGAGGTCAGGAGATCAGGATCATCCTGGTTAACATGGTGAAACCCCGTGGGCGCCTGTAGTCCCAGCTACTTGGGAGGCTGAGGCAGGAGAATGGCATGAACCTGGGAGGTGGAGCTTGCAGTGAGCCGAGATTGCACCACTGCACTCCAGCCTGGGCAACACAGCGAGACTCCGTCTTAAAACAAACAAACAAAAAATGTTATTGGCAAAACTCAATATAAATTCTGTTTTATAATTAGGCCTATGTAGATTAGAAAGAATTAGAAATTTCTTTTTTAAAGATGCCTTTATTAAATATTCTTTCAGGATTGTTAATGTTTTTAAAAAGTTTTAAAAGTTAATTTGGAGAGTTGTCTGTTGACTAACTTAGGCATACTTTTGGTAAGCATTTGCTTTACATGGGGATATCAAATAAATATCCTGTTTTCCATGTATCAACAATGTTTCTTATCTAAAAGCTTGTTGATACCTTTAGTTTTAAAGTACCTCCAGAATGTCGTTTCTTCCAACAGGTTTTCCCTGATGGACCAGGTTAGGGGCTTTCCTGGGTCCTATCACAACACACTGTAGGTAGCACTCACCACACTCAATGTGCTGTCATTGTTCACTTGTCTATGCTCCTCACTAGATCACAAGCTTTGGGAAGGCAGGAACTCTTTTGTGTAGATTGGTGTTGAATCACTGGTGCCTGCAGAATGACTAACTAAATAGGTGCTCTCTGACAGTATTGAAGAAACGAATTAACGGGTATCTGCTACTTGTTTTTTTCTGCCAGGATTGCCTTAGATTATTTTCCAAAGAAGAAAAACTCACAGATAACAACAGATTTTACTGCAGTCATTGCAGAGCTCGACGGGATTCTCTAAAAAAGATAGAAATCTGGAAGTTACCACCTGTACTTTTGGTGCATCTGAAACGGTAAAGGGGAGTTTTTCTTCCTGTTCAGTGAAATTAAATGAAGGAATTTTAAGTCCTGTGTAATTTATACTTGTTGTACTGCCTGTCATGGGTACATAACAGAGGACAATTATCTGGTTACAGTAGATCTAGGAAAATAAAGCAGAAATGAGACTGTTAGTTCACCTCAGTGTTGTCAGTACCAGAGCAAAATGACAGTACCACCATTTCATGTAATTCCTTGTGACTCAGTTTCTATAAAATAAAATATTGCATTTCAGATATAATTTTAAATTACAAAGCATCAAGTGAAAATATATAAAAATGTTACAGTATAATTCAAACGCAAATTAGCACATGAAATGTAACAAACAGCAGACTAAAGCACAACAGACTTAGTTATGTGTTAAATGAAATTTATAATTTTTAAAGTATTTTAACAATAAAATATGTTAATGATACCATTAAGTGCAGAGATAATTTTGTCCAGATTTTTCCAATTGATGGAACAGATCTAGTCCTATAATAGAAGGAATAATGACAAGCGTTCTAAAACACGAACCAGATCTTTTGCTGATTCTTTGGTCTTCACATAATCCATGTAACTCAAGAACTTTGAGTTGATTTTTTGAAAAACTTTTTAAAGGAAGTTGCACTTTTTTATTGAGAGCTGTAATTTTTGTCAAAAAAAAGCATTTCTGTTAAAAATGTATTATCTTGTATTGAGATTCTTAGTTCCTTATGTTAATTTCAACATTTACATGTTCAGATTTCTCTTGTGTAAAGTTTTTTCCATTGTCCTATTTGAGGATTGTGGAAGTATAAACATGCTATAAGTGATTACACATTTGTTAAAATTTTTAATGTTGAAAAGTTAGAAAATTCTGAAATAACCATATTACACCAACTAAGATATCATTGTTTTAATGTTTAAAGGAGCAGAATATGCCAGAACAATGGATTGAATGGCATGATTTTAGTCAGTAGTCTCCCTACTGTCAATTCCTGGCTCTAGTTTCCTCTGAAGTACAAGCTTCACTCAAGAGCAGCTCTCATTCTTTCTTTTGTGGTGATCAGCATTATAAACATGTGGGTCTTACCTTCGTAGAAGACTCATGTAGCAGTTGTAACTGGACCAGAGTGTAGTCCTACCTCTACCATTCTTGCTGTTTGACCTTAGGCACATCATTAAATATCCATGTGCCTCAGTTTTCTTGTTTGTAAAATGGAAATGAAACCAAATGTCTTTAACAGGTTCCTCTACTACTAAAATTCCAAGTCTTTGTATTTGAAATGGATTTTATGGTCCTGGCTAAAAACCTGGATGTTAATGAATGAGGATTCATCCCGGTATCTTCCTCTGTCAGTGTAATTGTAATGTTTTGTTCTGCAGTTTTTCCTACGATGGCAGGTGGAAACAAAAATTACAGACATCTGTGGACTTCCCGTTAGAAAACCTTGACTTGTCACAGTATGTTATTGGTCCAAAGAACAATTTGAAGAAATATAATTTGTTTTCTGTTTCAGTAAGTATCTCTTTGAACTGAAGACTTTTTGTTTCAAAGCAAGTTAAAAAAAAAAGTTTCAAGTGGTTTCCTACCTCATGGAAGAGTAAGAATAACATAAAGCTTTGAAACTATTGGCATATTTTAAACAATTGAAATTGAATTGATTTTTCTATCTTGTTTGGCACAGAATCACTACGGCGGACTGGATGGAGGCCACTACACAGCCTATTGTAAAAATGCAGCAAGACAACGGTGGTTTAAGTTTGATGATCATGAAGTTTCTGATATCTCCGTTTCTTCTGTGAAATCTTCAGCAGCTTATATCCTCTTTTATACTTCATTGGGACCACGAGTAACTGATGTAGCCACATAAGGAGACATAGGTTATAAACTAGTTATCTTTTAAAAGGCTCAGCAACACAACTCTTGAAATGCTTATCAAGATAATGGTAGCTATAGCTGACCGATTAGAGGAATTCTAGGACAGTGGGAGCTGTGTTACTAGCACGATATAATTCCGGTCAGTGCTGACAAATAACATTTAACAAGTATTGCAGTAAGCATCACTTACAGGTACCATTTATTTCAAAACAACTTTTTTAGTCTGCTCCAAAGTTAAAATAATTAACTAGCTAAGCATTATTATTCTACTGGTCTAAAAACCATTGTATCTTTTTTTTTTCCTTTTCACTGTTATGGCCTTTTCACATTTCTAAATCCCATCTTGATATACTATGAATACTCTAGAATGATGTAAAGCAGATAGGAATGTATGTGTACATATTTATTGCATACTTGCACATCAAATCGATGTACATAGTTTAACACGTCCTTTTGTGAAACCTAGAACTCAGAGGATTGCTTTTTTTCTTTCAGCCTATTTTGAGTAACTTCAGTGCTTTCTTAGGGAAATGACAGGGCAAAGCGATTTTTCTGTTGGCTTTGGGCTGTATTTGTGCACTAAATCTTTATTCTAAAAAAATAAAATGGAAACTTTAATTTTTTAAAAATGAGAATTTCATTTACAGCTACATTAAAATCTTAATGAGAAAAATAATTTACAACCCTGTGGGTGTTGTCTTTAATATTGTATTATCAAATATGGGACAGTAAAACCATAGATTTTATATACACACGTGCTATATAATAACACCCAGAGTCATTCTTTCAAGATTAGTATTCTCATATATTGAGAATATTCATTCTAAATATTAAAGTAAAAAATGCTGGGAGTCAGGCATGATTGCAAAGTGAACTGCATTGTAAATGACATCTTTACAGAGTGATATATTAAGAGGGTTAAAGGAGCTTATAACTTATTTAACCGAGGGACTCAGTTGCTACCTATGTAGTCAGTAAAACACTCCATACAAAAATAACATTCTAAAAGTGCTTCAGAAAGATACCACCATTAGCAGGCTCTCAAGGAGAAGATGAAAGGATTGGGTTCAAATTGTGAAGCTGACAACTTTTCATGTTTTTCAGTTAGTGTAAGAGACCACTTCTTGGCTAAATTATTGTATCAGATATATTCAAATCATAAACTCACAGAGCCATTTGAACAAAAATTATTTTTGTTTAGCTTCATGAGTATCTTTGGAAAATAATTTGTTGAATATATATAATTAAGAGATGTTTTCTGATAAACGCCAAATTTTGAAACCTGAACTCGCTATATAATCTGCAGTGTTTTGAAGGCCTCCATCCATTAGCACTGTATTATATTCACACTGCCTTTTTAAGTGACCCAGGACCCATCTTCTGGATGACAGACTTATCTTAAGATAAAAGGTTGCATAACATGCCCACAAGGCATAAAAATGTTAATAATGCAAGTAAGTTCTACAAGTTTAATGACCAAGCAAAATTCTACCACCAGATGCTGATTGCTTGTTTTGCAGTGTTCAGGAAACACCATTTTCCTGGCTGTTAATGCTTTTGTATTGGTATGGAAAAGGGCTGGCAGCTATAGAACAGGAGATACGCCGTAGCATTTTGAACGGAAGTATCTGGAATCTCACTGACTCGTGTGTCATCAAAGCTATACCAGGCCTGGGTGAATGAATTCTTGCAAAAAGCAGTGTAGTGGCCACCATCCAGATCACCAAAGTGGTTCTATGGGAGAAAGGAAAGTCAAACTTAATATTCACATACAAACACTAACTACTGGAACCGAAATGATAGGGCCAAGAAATGCTTTTTAAATTGTCCCTTATACTAAATTAAAAGTGATTATTTTGTCGTTAAATCCTGCATATAGCCTGACTGCTATATTGCTTCTCTTTTCATTGTAACTGCTTATATGTTGTGCCCATTGATTATCATCTGTGAATAAAGACAATATTTGGCAGCATCTGATTAATGTTTATCAGTGAATATTTAGTTAGCACTTACTAAACATCAACTATTAAGCATTAAAGGAAATTTTACAATAAGATAATTCAGGCCGGGCACAGTGGCTCACACCTGTAATCCCAACACTCTGGGTGGCTGAGGCAGGTGGATTGCTTAAGTCCAGGAGTTCAAGACCAGCCAGGGCAACATAGCGAGACCCCCTCATATCTTTAAATAAAAAATAAAAAAGGCTGGGCACCGTGGCTCAAGCCTGTAATCCCAGCACTTTGGGAGGCCAAGACGGGCAGATCACGAGGTCAGGAGATCAAGACCATCCTGGCTAACACGGTGAAACCCCGTCTCTACTAAAAAAAATAAATACAAAAAAACTAGCCGGGTGAGGTGGCAGGCACCTGTAGCCCCAGCTACTCGGGAGGCTGAGGCAGGAGAATGGCGTAAACCCGGGAGGCGGAGCTTGCAGTGAACTGAGATCCGGCCACTGCACTCCAGCCTGGGCAACAGAGCGAGACTCCGTCTCAAAAAACAAAAAAAAGAAGAAAAGATGAGCTAGGCATAGTGGTGCACACTTGGAGTCCCAGCTACTTGGGAGGTTGGGGTGGGAGGATCTCGAGCCTGGGAGGTCGAGGCTGCAATGAGCTGTGGTTGTACCACTGCACTCCAGCCTGGGTGACAGAGTGAGACCCTGTCTTTAAAAAAAAAAAAGAAAAAAAGAAAAAAAATCTTACTTAAATGAACTTACAATTAAGGATCTTAACTACATGTTGCTACAGCACAAATTGAGGGAGCTATGTAGCAGAAACCCCTCAATCACCTATAGAGCACAAAAAATGATGTCTCTCATGTTCCTTTTTCCATGTATTTCCCAACCCAGTATTGTTTGGAACAAAGGCATTAGAGAGGTGTACTTCCAAGGAGGTGTTACAGTGTATGATAGGGGTCAGCAAACCACGGCCCATGGGTCAACTCCAGGCTGTTTTTGCAAGACCCATGCATTAGCAATGGGTTTTATATTTTTATATAGTTGGGGAAAAGATCCAAGTAATAATAGTGTTGTTACATGTGAAAATTATATGACATTCAAATATCAATGTCCTTAAAGTTTTACGGGAACACAGTCATGCTCATTTGTTTACACTTTTCAGTGGCTGCTTTAATGATAAAACAGTAAAACTGAATAGTTGCAGCCAATACCGTATGGCTTATGAGGCCTGAACTATTTACTGTTTGGCCTTTAACAGAATAAGTTTGCAGACCTCTGGTGTAGAGGGAAGAAAATTGATTATTTGTTAACTTTTTTTATTTTTTGAGATGGAGTCTCTCTCTCGCCCAGGCTGGAGTGCAGTGGCGCGATCTCAGCTCACTGTAACCTCCGCCTCCCAGGTTCAAGCGATTTTCCTGCCTCAGCCTTCCGAGTATCTGGGACTACACGTGCGTGCCACCATGCCCGGCTAATTTTTTGTATTTTTAATAGAGATGGGGTTTCACCATGTTATCCAGGATGGTCTCAATCTCCTGACCTCGTGATCCTCCCACCTCAGCCTCCCAAAGTTATTTATTTTTAAGATGGAGTCTCACTCTGTTGCCCAGGCTGGAGTGCAGTGACATGATCTCAGCTCACCACAACCTCTGCTTCCTGGGTTCAAGCTATTCTCCTGCCCCAGCCTCCCAAGTAACTGGGACTGTAGGCATGCACCATCACACCCAGCTAATTTTTCGTTTTTTTAGTAGAGATGGGGTTTTGCCATGTTTGCCAGGCTGGTCTTGAACTCCTGACCTCAAGTGATCCACCTGCCTCCACTTCCCAAAGTGCTGGGATTACAGGCGTGAGCCACTGCACCCAGCCTATTTATTTTTAGAAACAGTTTCTCTCTATGTTGCCCAGGCTGTACATGAATTCCTAGGCACAAGCAATCCTCTCGCCTCAGCCCCCCAAATAGTTGGGACTACAGGCATACACCACCATGTCCAGAATGAAAATGGATTTATCTAGTTAATTTCAACTGTGAATTCGGGTGTAATAGTACATGGTGACCTTAGTGAAATTATTTAACCTTTCTGAGCTTTAATTTCTCATCTATTAACATGACTTGTTTTGTATGTCTGTTATCAAACATCTCATGTATTGAGAGCTAGTACACAGGAGTTATTTATTCAGTATTCCCTTCTACCTTCATCTTCTCCACCTCTCTCCTTACAGGTAATAGAAATATCCAAAATTCACATTTAAAAGATCAAGGTTCTACCGGGCGTGGTGGCTCACGCCTGTAATCCCAGCACTTTGGGAGGCTGAGGCAGGCGGATCACTTGAGGTCAGGAGTTTGAGACTAGCCTGGCCTACATGGTGAAAACCCATCTCTTCTAAAAATATAAAAATTAGCTGGGCATGGTGGCGCGTGACTAATCCCAGCTGTTTGGGAGGCTGAGGCAGGAGAATCGCTTGAACCTGGGAGATGGAGGTTGCAGTGAGCTGAGATGGTGCCATTGCACTCCAGCCTGGGCAGAGCCCTAAAGAGGAAATTTAACAATAGTATGGTGTGTGGTTTATGCTTTGTGACTGCCTGAGCATAAAGACAGTCCCTGGTCTCTGTAACCAGTATGCTTGGGTTTTAAAGGTCATGCAAGGACACTAGAGGTGAAGTCTTAGGCCCCCTACAAGGTGAGAAGTTGGATTGAGATCCCCATACAAAGCCAGGACCTTTAAAGACATTCACCCTCCATGAAAGGATTAAAACAAAAATCCACCCTCTAGTACTTGTGTTAGCTTGGACTCACGGTACAGAGAATAAAAGTCATTCCTGGGAATTTATCACCGTGGACCCACCTTCTCACCAGTTTGGGATTCAAATTTATACTACTTGTGTGGTCTGAGAATCCTGTGAACTTAATATGAAAAGTATTTCTAGGGCAATTGCCAGAAGGAAACAATTTCTAGATTGTTGCATGTTAACTCAGACTGAACAGGATATCCACATACGAAACCCCAATGAAGTTGGGATGACAATTCAAAATAACAGAACATGCAAGGAGACAATTTGTCATAAGAGTCCGAAGGCAATAAGATTAAACCCCCATTTAATAAATGGTGCTGGGATAATTGGCTAGCCATAAGTAGAAGGCTGAAACTGGATCCTTTCCTTACTCCTTATACGAAAATTAATTCAAGATGGATTAGAGACTTAAATGTTAGACCTAAAACCATAAAAACCCTAGAAGAAAACCTAGGCAATACCATTCAGGACATAGGCATGGGCAAGGACTTCGTGTCTAAAACACCAAAAGCAACTGCAACAAAAGCCAAAATTGACAAATGGGATCTAATTAAACTAAAGAGCTTCTGGCACAGCAAAAGAAACTACCATCAGAGTGAACAGGCAACCTACAGAATGGGAGAAAATTTTTGCAATCTACTCATCGGACAAAGGGCTAATATCCAGAACCTATAAAGAACTCAAACAAATTTACAAGAAAAAAACAACCCCATCAAAAAGCGGGCAAAGGATATGACCAGACACTTCTCAAAGACATTCATACAGCCAACAGACACATGAAAAAATGCTCATCATCACTCGCCATCAGAGAAATGCAAATCAAAACCACAATGAGATACCATCTCATACCAGTTAGAATGGCAATCATTAAAAAATCAGGAAACAACAGGTGCTGGAGAGGATATGGAGAAATAGGAACACTTTTACATTGTTGGTAGGACTGTAAACTAGTTCAACCATTGTGGAAAACTGTGGCGATTCCTCAAGGATCTAGAACTAGAAATACCATTTGACCCAGCCATCCCATTACTGGGGATATACCCAAAGGATTATAAGGCATGCTGCTATAAAGACACATGGACACGTATGTTTATTGCGGCACTATTTACAATAGCAAAGACTTAGAATCAACCCAAATGTCCATCAGTGACAGACTGGATTAAGAAAACGTGACACATATACACCATGAAACACTATGCAGCCATAAAAAAGGATGAGTTTGTGTCCTTTGTAGGGACATGGATGCAGCTGGAAACCATCATTCTCAGCAAACTATGGCAAGAACAGAAAACCAAACACTGCATGTTCTCACTCATAGGTGGGAATTGAACAATGAGATCACTTGGACACAGGAAGGGGAACATCACACACCGGGTCCTATTGTGGGGAGCGGGGAGGGGTAGCATTAGGAGATAAACCTAATGTAAATGACAAGTTAATGGGTGCAGCACACCAACATGGCACATGTGTGCATATGTAACAAACCTGCACATTGTGCACATGCACCCTAGAACTTTAAAGTATAATTAAAAAAAGAAAAAGATTAAACCCCCAAAGACTTTAGATAATAGAATTATTAAGCAGAGGCTACAAATAAAGTATATTTAAAATTAAATATATTTAGAAGAAGGAAACAAACTTTGGAAACTAAATAGAATTTTCAGAAATGAGAAGTACAACATAGCTGGCCGTCCATATTTATGGGCTCTGCATCTTCAGAATCAACTAATGTGATGGGAAAGATTTGAAAAAACAACACAACAATAAAAATGATACAAATTTTAAAATACAGTGTAACAAGTATTTACGTAGTATTTATATTGTATTAGATATTATAAGTAATCCAGAGATGATTTAAAGTATACGGGAGGATGTGCATAGGTTACATGCAAATACTACTCCAGGCCTGGCATGGTGGCTCACACCTGTAATCCCAACATTTTTGGGGGATGGAGGTGGGCAGACTGCTTGAGCCCAGGAGTTCTAGACCAGCCTGGGCAACATGGCAAAATCCTGTCTACACAAAATACAAAAATTCACCAGGCATAGTGGCACGTGCCTATAGTCCCAGCTACTTGGTAGGTTGAGGTGGGAGAATTCCCTGAGCCCAGAAGGTCAAGGCTACAGTAAGCCGTGACTGAGCCACTGCTCTCCAGCCTGGCAACAGAATGAGACCTTGTCTCAAAAAACAAAAAACACCATAAAAGACACCATTTTATATAGGGCCCTTGAGCA